ATCTTGTCTTTTATGCACACTGAGATCATATGCACCAAAGACAAATTCCTTGTGTGTCCAATCACACTTGGCCAATAAAGAATTCTATTTATTTATTGGTTCAATTTATATGCCACCCTTCTCCGGAGACTCAGGGCGGCTTATAATGCGTTAAGCAATAGCCTTCATACTTTTGTATATACCTGCTTAGTAGGGCTTTCGGCCCCCCCTAAGCGGTGTTCTTTTTTATACAAAGTCAGCTTATTGCCCCCACAATCCGGGTCCTCATTTTACCTACCTCGGAAGGATGGAAGGCTGAGTCAACCTTGAGCCTGGTGAGATTTGAACTCGCAGTAATTGCAGGCAACTGGCAGCTAAGTGCTAATTAACAGCACTTTAGTCTGCTGCGCCACCAAGGCTATCTTCTATCTATCTATCTATCTATCTATCTATCTATCTATCTATCTATCTATCTGTTTCCTAGTATGATTTGATTGCTTATTTGTAGCCTATGACTACCATTAAGTGTTGTACCTTATGATTCTTAATGAACATATCTTTTATGTATACTGAGATCATATGCACCAAAGACAAATTCCTTGTGTGTCCAATCACACTTGGCCAATAAAGAATTCTATTCTATTCTAGTATGCTGGACTGCAGGGCCGGCGCAACCTGTAATGTTCACACTGGTTGCAATAAGACTGGGTGTTTGTTAATATGATTTATTGGGTTAGGGATTTTCTGTCTTCACTGTGTGTTGTATTGTGTTGTGGGGTGGTGCAATGAGGGAGCTCAACCAATCTCATTGTACATGTGTTGTGCACTGACAATAAAGATGTTTTATTATTGTTGTTATTATTATTATTATTATTATTATTGGTTAATCTTTAGTGAGATTCACAGCCTTTGAGGCTGGTTAATAGCTCAGCAGCTCGAGTCCTAACCAAGGACCTAGGAACTGTTAAGGTATCGTCAGAGGATGTAAGCTGTTCCGAGTAAGGTGGTTTTTTGTAGAGTCAAAATGTTCAAGTCCGGCAAATTTAGAATTTCTAAATAGAGGGGTAGCCATTTGGGTATTGCTCCGAGGGCTCCGATTACAATCAGGACAACACACGATTTCTTTTTCCACAATCGCTCAACTTCAATTTGCAAATCCCGGTACTTTGTGATTTTTTCTTGCTGCTTATCTTCAATCCGTGCATCACCAGGTATTGCAATGTCAATGAACCATATTTTTTTTCTTTTCAACTATTGTTATGTCAGGTGTGTTGTCGACCAAGTGCCTGTCAATCTGAATCCTGAAGTCCCACAAGATCTTGAGTTTCTCATTCTCTAAAACTTTCTCAACCTGATATTCCCAGTGGTTTTTTGCTGTACTCAAATCCAAACGTCTGGCACAATTTCCAGTGAATGATCTTAGCAACGCGGTCATGGCGTTGTAGGTAGTCGGTTTGTGAAATTTTGCTGCACCCACTGATCAGGTGGTCGACTGTCTCATCTTTTTATTCAATCATCTTATTATTCAAAACACGTGCCCCAAGCGTATGGGAATCATAATTCTTGAAACCTCGCTGGAATTCAAATTCTGTTTTCCACCACCACCACCACCACCACCAAAGATTCTGCCTCTTTCACTGGCTTAGACATCAACACAAAACTATTTTTAAGCACTTGATGGGGAAATATGCCACTGTCCCAAAGGTGAAGGTTTTAAAGTCATCTGCCCAGAAGAATGTTTGCCTCCAGGAAAGAGCCTTTCAAAACCATCACAAGATCCTTAAATCAACAGAGTCTGCAAACAAGTTTATCTCACCTAAATTCCGATGACCTCCCAAAGACCAACAATGCCATTTGTGAACTTGAATGAAGCAAGACATGTTATCTTGTCTTGCAAATGTCTGTGATATTTATGCTGGGGAACCTTATCAGCTTTGGGGGAGAACAAACAAGGATTTAAGGAAGCGATTGTAAAGGGAATTTCAGATATTTTTTTATATTATTATTCAGAGTCAGTTGTTTTAAAATTCCTCTGGCTCAACTTTCCTACTGGGAATAATTACTGGGTCATATAAAAAAAAAATAAGATACTTAATCATTCACATAATTACAGCAGCACGAATAGTTTTCGCCCAAAACTGGAAAAACAATGACATACCATCAGAAGACAAGGTGATTAAAAAAATCATGGAGTCTGTGGAAATGGATAAGCTCGTGAAGGAGACACAAGAAAAAGATAAAACAGAATATTACTTAGTCTGGGAGAAATGGTATAAATGGTTGGAGGAAAGGGTGGGGGGAAAGGGGGACAAAGGAAGACTAAATAATGGTTAAATTAGGTGGAGAAATATAGAAACAAATGGGAAGATATAAAAATTGTGGAAAGGAAATTAGGCACATGTTTATGTCAAATGTAAATAAAATAATTAGAAAAATGGAATATATTATAACGGTATATATATATATGATGTACTAGAAATATATGTATAAGGATATATTAAGATAGGAAAGAGAAAATGTATAAATATGGCTTACTGATGCGAAGATGTTGAAAAGAAGATGTAAATATCTGTTTTTGTTTGTTTTTTTAAAAAAACTATTTAATAAAATTAAAAAGATTTTATTTATTTATTATATTTCTATACCGCCTTTCTCCCATAGGACTCAAGGCGGCGTACAGTCAAGAAAAATATAGATACACAAACATCATAAAGTTGCTAATTAAAATTATTATTATAACATAGTTTGGCCCAATTAAATAGAACCTAAAATTAGATAACATTTAGATAATTTTAATTTTAATATCCTGGGAGCCTGACTAGGTGGCTGTGAGTCACCAAGCTTGTCTCTCAGTCACTGAGCTTGTCGATCAGGAAGCAGTTCGGCGGTTCGAATCCCTAGCACAGGTCTCCTGCGTGAGTAGGGGGGTTGGACTAGATGATCTCCAAAGGTCCCTTCCAACTCTGTTCCTGTTACTGTAAGGCTGGCATTAAAATAACCAGGGAAATAACGAACAGATTATCCAACCTCAAACAGTGGCTGGATAAATAACTTGGTTGTGGTGTTGTTGTTTTTTACTACGGTATGAATTTTTTTTTTTTTTTAAAAATGCATTTTTCTAATTTGTTTATGAAGAAGCCAGCAGTTGGCAAATCTCTCATGTCTCCTTCCGAGTTGACCTTCCTTCCAAGGGATCCTGTGACAAACTGCCTCTGCCTCTTCCCCCAAAGGCAGGGAGGGAGGGTGTGTATGGTTCACAAACACACACAAACACACTTCTCCTTTTGCTAAGCATCTTGAGCCAGACCAACCGTGCCCCCACCCAACCCAGTGACTCTCCGGATTGAGTTGCAATGTGACACCGAGTTCGCATGTTCCTCTTTCCCAGGAAATGCGCCTCTAGGCAAAAGGGTGCGTTTGCAAAGGCGGCTTCCCACAATGCACTGTTCCGTCTTTTATTTTTATTTATTTTTATTTTTTACATGTTTAAAAGAGAGATTGTAGCATTAGGGACTATTAACTCTGGCTGAGTCGCCTTCTAAGCCACTGTTTGTCCACTCTGGCAAACTTGAAGAAGTTTAGGCCAGTATTTGTTCAATCTGGGAGACTTTTAAAAAGGGTGGACTTCAACTCCCAGAATTCCCCAGCCAGCATGGATGGATGGATGGACGGATGGGGAATTCTGGGAGTTGAAGTTCCACAGATCTTGAAATTGCCCAGGTTGAGAAACACTGAAATAGGAGGTGATCGTTCTGGATGCCTTCCAACTCTATGATTCATGGCTGGCTGGGGGAATTCTGGGAGTTGAAGTCCACCCTTTTTGAAAGTTGCCCAGGTTGAACAAATATTGGCCTAAGCTACAATGGGCTGTGGCAAACCATGGCTTAGCCTTGGATGCTCGTTTCTTCTTTGCTTGACCTTCCCTGGAAAACCAGCTTCAATGGAGCAGGACAACCTAGTGTGTGGGACTAAAGACAAAGCTCTCCCTGTGTGTGTGTGTGTGTGTGTGTGTGTGTGGTGTGAAAGAGATGGACAGAGAGAGAGATGGAGAGGGGGAGAGACAGAAAGGGAGAGATGGAGGGAAGAGAGAGGGAGAAAGGAGAGAGAAGGGAGAGAGGGAGGAGAGAGAGGGGAAGAGGGGGAGGGGTGGTGGAGACGGAGAGAGAGAAGGAGGGGAGGGGGTGAGAGGGAGGGAGGAGAGAGGAAGAGGGGGATGGGTGGTGGAGAGGGAGAGAGAGAAGGAAGAGGAGGAGAAAGGGAGGGAGGAGAGAGGAAGAGGGGGAGGGGAGGGGGAGAGGGAGAGAGAGAGAGAGAGGGAGGAGAGAGAGGAAGAGAGAGGAAAGAGAGGAAGGGGGAGGGGAGAGGAAGAGGGGGAGAGAGGGAGGAGAGAAAGAGGGAGGGGAGGGGGAGGGGGAGATAGAGAGAGGGAGGAGAGGAAGAGGGGGAGGGGTGGGAGAAAGGGAGAGAGAGGAGGGGAGGGGGAGAAAGGGAGGGAGGAGAGAGGAAGAGGGGGAGAGGAAGAGAGTGAGAGAGAGCCAGCCACGTAGCAGCGCATGGTGTCACTCATAGTTCCACACATCCCTGGGAAAGGGGACCAAGCGGTGAGCTGCGATTCCAACTTTTTTTTTAAAATTTATGTTTATTTTGGGGCTCACGAATAATTCATCCAATACGGAAACTCCCCACCAGCTCAACCCCCCCCCCCACCTTCCTTCCCACGGTGTCCCCATTCATAAGAAGAGGAAGAAAAAAAAAACAACCGAGCCCCGCCCCCTCCGCGGAGCCCCGCCCCTTTCCTTTATGACGCCAGGCCGGCCTCTGTTGCGTCACCCTCCCGGCTCTCGTCCTCGCCTCACCCCCCTCCCACCCCGCCTTTCCCTCCCGAGCCCGGCCAATCGCGTCCCTCGGCGCCCCTCCGCGTCATCGCCCTCCCCCCTCGCGCCTCCGCCGTCCTCGTGGTTGGCTCGCTCCGCACGTGGAGCCCGGCGCCGGCATCGCGTGACAACGGCGCAGGCGCAGTAGCGAGCCAGGCCATCCTTTGGCTGGCAGTTCGGGAGTTTCGGCAGTTCGTAGCGCAGCGCCGGGAAGGACCGAGGCCGGCTTTGGGGCGAGGTGGGGAGGGGGCGGGCAGGCAGGCAGGCAATGGCCGGGGTCTCGTCGGAGAAGAGCACGCTGCTTCATCTGTTCGCCGGGGGGTGAGTCCTGCGCCGCCTCCTCTGCCCCATTCATGCTTTCCTCCCTTTTTCCCACGCCCCCCATTCATAAATTCTCCCCTCCGTTCCCACGGCCCCCCCCATTCATAATTTTTCTCCCCTTCCCCATTCATCCCTTCTGCTCTCCCCGTTTCTCTCCCTCTTTTTGTCTCCCCGCCACACACACCTTTTCTTCATTCAGGAACAGTAACAGAGTGGGAAGGGACCCTTGGAGGTCATCTAGTCCGACCCTCTGCTCACCCTTCTTGATCGGCAGGCTCAGTGTCTTAGCCTCCTCCTTTCCTCTCCCCCACCCTTCTTTCTCCTTGTCAGGTTAAATCCTACTTCTCCCTCCCCGATTTTCTGATTTTTCCCCCCCTCCCCTCCTCCTTCCTTGGGGCTCTTCTTTCTCATTTGTTCCCCCCACCCCATACTTTTATTTGAATTATGGGGTCAAATATATATATATATTTAACTGTATTTTAATGTTTGTAGTTTATGTTTTTTACTTTGGCTGTACACCGCCCTGAGTCCTCAGGGAGAAGGGCGGTATATAAATTTGATATAAAATAAAAAAAATAAATACTTTATATGCTGATCTCCCATGGACAGTAGCAGTCTACCTTTGGCTGTCAGAAAAAAAATCCTGGGGGGGTTGGGGACTGCCGGACCGATCCCTGCACTGGGCCCCCCCACCATCACCCTTTCCTCTCCAACCTGTTCTCATCTCCAGGTTGTCCCCGATCTAGTAGATCACCCATTGCATCAGATCCTGTAGGTCAGGGGTCTGCAACCTTAAACACTCAAAGAGTCATTTGGACCCGTTTCCCACAGAAAAGAAAACACAGGGAGCCACAAAAACCTTCCCGTGCCTGACTATTTCTTGAGCGGCCTTTTTTTCTGAAACTTTTCTTTTCTTGGATTTATTCATGGTTGATCTACGGGGTGTGTGTGTGAAAAAGCTCAATAAATCACATGCTGGCGGGTGTCGCGCATTGGCGGTTGTGATGCCTATTTTGAGTGACAGAGGGGCGAAAGAGCCACATGTGGCTCCAGAGCCGCAGGTTGCTGACCCCTGCCTTAGGTGCGCATGGGGGTCAGAAGCCAATAAATCACCTTGTGGCATCCTTCTTTTTCTTCCGAGAAAGATTTTCTCTGCTTTTGCATAACACAACACAACACACCCTGAAACAACAAACGAAAGGAAGGGGAATTTTTTTTTTTTTTTAAATCAAGGATGTTGTGCAAAAGGCAACGACGGATTGACGAAATGCCCCACCGGTTTGTCTGGGGGGAGGCGGGGGGGAAGTAACTGATTCAGCAGACAGGTTATAATTAGAGGCAGGAAATTGTCTGCCAGTAGTATGTAGTCTTTATATGTAGTGTTGATGGATGTTCTTGTCAAAAATCAGAGTTTTTCAGCCCAGGGACTTTAAAAAGCGACGAATGAATGAGCAGTGAGAATAAAATATTAATATGTTATGTGCGGGTCATTATCGGATTTGCAGACGCTTCCTTAAATGGGAGATCATTATGAAATTACTGTGATAATAAGGTTACGAAACCCACAGATTATGGAATCCGCAGATGTAGGGGAAAAGGCTTCTTAAAAGATTAGTGTGTATTTCTGGAGTGCAGTTGCTATCTTTGTTTTCCACTTGTGACTCTGAGTATCAATGTAGACTCCTAGTTTAATCCCTGGATGTAGCTGCTGTTTATTACTTTCTCACCCTCCCTGTTGCTGAAATACTCCTGGGGGAAAGAAAGAGAAAAGGGGAGCTTTGTCAAGGTTTTTTTCCCCCATCCAGAAGCTGCTTTTTCTAAACTCCCACCCACCCCCGTTTCTGAATCTCTGCAGAGTCTTGATGTGCCAAGAAAACCATCTCATGGACTACTGTACTACTACTACTACTACTACTACTACTGATAATAATAATAATAATAATAATAATAATAATAATAATAATAATAATACATACTCGACATTATTATTATTATTATTATTATTATTATTATTATTATTATTATTATTATTATTATTATTATTATAGTGCAGGGGTCTGCAACCTTAAACACTCAAAGAGCCATTTGGACCTGATTCCCACAGAAAAAAAAACACCAGGAGCCACAAAACCTTTCCCCGTGCCTGACTATTTTTTGAGCAGCCTTTTCTCCTGAAATTTTTCTTTTCTTGGATTTATTCATGGTTGGCCTACCGGGGGTTGAAAAACTCAATAAATTGCAGGCTGGCGATTGTGATGCCTATTTTGAGTGACAGGGAGCCGCAGCAGAGGGGTGAAAGAGCCACATGCGGCTCCAGAGCCGCAGTTTGCTGACCCCTGTACTAGTAGGACGCGGTGGCTCAGTGGCTAAGACGCTGAGCTTGGCGATCGAAAGGTCAGCGGTTCAGCGGTTCGAATCCCTGGTGCCGCGTAACGGGGTGAGCTCCGGTGACTTGTCCCAGCTTCTGCCAACCTAGCAGTTCGAAAGCATGTAAAAAAAAATGCAAGTAGAAAAACAGGGACCACCTTTGGTGGGAAGGGAACAGCGTTCCGTGCGCCTTTGGCGTTGAGTCATGCCGGCCACATGACCACGGAGACGTCTTCGGACAGCGCTGGCTCTTCAGGCTTTGAAACGGAGCTGAGCACCGCCCCCTAGAGTCAGGAACGACTAGCACGTATGTGCGAGGGGAATCTTTACCTTTTACTCAGACATTACCTTAACAGTTCTTAGGTCCTTGGTTAGGACTTGAACTGTGAAGTTTTTAACCAGTCCCAGACTGTGAATCGAATTGAAGATTAAATCTTAAATAACAATAATGGACCCCTAGCAAATCCCTCGCTCTGTTGGCAAAGACCCAAGTTCTCACTTTGGCCCTTTGCAAATAGCAAACTTGGAAGAGTACGTCCCTCTGATTGTCTCACACTTGTTTCTTGGCCTTCTAAGATTTTGTGTGTGTGTGTGTGTGTTTTTTTCCTGCTCAATTGGCAATGGTTCCACATACCCACACCCACCAACTCCTGATTATTGCATTGCTCCCTTCCGTTCGAAACACAGTGTCCTAAAAAGGGTTGTGTCCCTGCTGTGTTTTGTTCCACGCGACTTCCTTGGCTGTTGCGTAAAAAGGTCATCTCTTCCCAGGTGTTCCCTTCAAATTGGCTTGAGCAATCTGTGCTTTGAAAGCGTAACGGGGCCGGAGTGAAAGAAAGACTTCACGGTGTTCCGAAGGGGAACCGCTAATCGACGAGTTAGATCTTTTCATCGAGGAAAGATCAACCCGGAATAAATCTTGTTTCCAAATGATTGACTTGACGAGTGGCTGCAAAGCGGCTTTAGCTGGAGGTGAACCGAAGGGCTTGATGTTTTGAAGTCCAGCTAGGATAGTTTATTGATTGATTGATTTATTGATTGGTTCGATTTATATGACGCCCTTCTCCGGAGACTCAGGGCAGCTTACAATGCGTTAAGCAATAGCCTTCATACTTTTGTATATACCTGCTTAGTAGGGCTTTTGGGCCCCCCCCCCAAGCGGTGTTCTTTTTTTTATACAAAGTCATCTTATTGCCCCCACAATCCGGGTCCTCATTTTACCTACCTCGGAAGGATGGAAGGCTGAGTCAACCTTGAGCCTGGTGAGATTTGAACTCGCAGTAATTGCAGGCAGCTGGGCAGCTAAGTGCTACTTAACAGCGCTTTAGTCCACTGCGCCACCAAGGCTCCTTTTATTTTATTATTTTATTTTATTTTCCTTCCACATACTTAGTGAACAGTACATTGTCTGAGTCAATTTACTCTATACCAGGGATGGCTAACTTTCTTGCTGTCGTGCGCCAAAAGCGGGGGGAGTGCGGGGGAGTCACGCGCGCGCAAGCCCACACCCATAATTCAATGGCCTCCCCCACATCCTGCGCCCCCGTGCATGCACATGTGAGCCCTCCCCGCAGTCCCCCCCGTTTTTGGCATGCAACGGCAAAAAGGTTACTGGTGGGCCTGTTTTTTGCCCTCCCCAGGCACCAGAGTCTTTCTTGGAGGCTGGGGAGGGCGAAAACAGCCTTCCCCATTCTCCTGGAGGCTCTCCGGAGGCCAGAAACAGCCCGTTTCACAGCTTCCAGAGGGCCCGGAAGGCCCATTTTTCGCTCTCCCCAGGCAAAAACTACCTCCCCCCCCCCCCCCCCGGAGGCCCTTTGAAGGCCGGAAACGGCCCATTTCCCGACTTCCCGAAAATCAGCTGGCCGGCACGCACATGCGTGCTGGAGCCGAGCTAGGGCAACGCTCATGTGCCCACAGATATGGCTCCATGTGCCACCTGTGGCACGCATGCCATAGGTTCACCATCACGGCTCTATACAGAATCTTGGTGACGATGCTAGTATTAATTAAATATACATATTAATATTCTTTCAGCTTCTCAGATTTGCATATATATTGTAATTATAATGTATTATATTTTGTAGCAGTGTACAAAGTCATGTTTTTCCAATTTCTACTTTCTGTCTCTTTATTATTAGCTCCTAATTAGATTAGGATTAGATTAGAATTAGATTAGATTAGAATTAGATTAGAATTAGATTAGATTAGAATTAGATTGGATTAGAATTAGATTAGATTAGAATTCTTTATTGGCCAAGTGTGATTGGACACGAGGAATTTGTCTTTGGTGCATATGCTCTCAGTGTATATAAAAAGACAAGATACATTTGTCAAGAATCATAAGGCACAACACTTAATGATAACTAATGCAACAATTCCCATATTAAGAAGTATTATGTATCTATACATCATCCCTTATTTTTTACTTTTTAAATATCCATAATAGTAGTCTTAACTTCTAACATTTACTTATATGTACTAACTATAATAGCTTCTATCATTTAACGGTACACATCATAATATTTTCCCAACTTTTAGGTTCTAGCTCTATTTTCTAGTCTTTAATAAAACAAATCCTATATTAAGTTATATTCTGCGTCTATCCATCATCTCTTGCCCGTTTTAGTATTTCAAGTCCTATTGACTTTTATTGACAGGTAGGATAGTTTTTAAGATTGGGGCTAAACTGTATTGCTCAGCTTAACTTTGAGACCGTCCTCACGCGACACACGTGCTTAAAACAAACCAGAGTTTGTGAGATCACGACTCTTTGGTGGCTCGGGGTTGGCGGGAGAAAAATATGGCTTTTCCAAGCTTTGAAGCGTGCCAATTTCTTGCCAACGTATTCCATTGCTCTCTGAAGCAACAGGAAATGCTTCCTTGCTTTCCTTTCCTTTGCCAAATCCTTGAAACTCGACTTGTATTGGGCGATTTCCCCCGCCTCCCAAAATAGGCCGACTTAAAAGTTGACAGAAATGGTTTTCTGAAATGTAGCTTGGCTCACTGGCACGATCTCTCTCTTTTCCCCCCCCTCTTTCTGTGATTCTGAACTTCTGTCTGCCCTTTAGGGATAATTGTTACTGGAGGCAAGTAACGTCGGTTATGCGGAAAAGGTCTGTTTCTATTTTGTCTGTTTTGTAAAAGCTTTGCTGGAATTAATGGCGCGCAAACTTCGTAAAATAAGGATTTCTTTGTGGTGCGGTTATTTTCTTTCTTAGAAAGCCGATGGCACGATGGAAATTAAATCTCTTTAGTAACAGCCGGACGCTTCCCTTTTTTAAAAAAGGTATCTAAGCAATGAAACACATGGGATTTTTCCAGCGATACAGCGCGGACAATTCGGTGCTCCAGAGCAAAACATTTTCTGGTTGAACTAAAACGCAGAATTATCAGGAAAGATGCCCTTGTGCTGACTTCGGACTTGTGGGAAGTGCAAGGTTGTGATTTTGTAGAAAGTTGTGCTCCGCCACCATCTGCATTTCCGTGGGAGAACATTTTTCGGGAACAAACGGATCAAAGAGAGATTCAACCTTAGAACTAAGGAGGAGTTTTCTGACAGTGAGAACAATCAACCGAAGTTGCCTTCGGGAGTAGTGGAAGCTTCGTCACCGGAGGTTTTCAAGAAGAGACTGGACTGCCATCTTGTCCGAAATGGTGTAGGGACGTGATGGCGAACCTGTTGGCACGCGGAGCCATATCAGTGGGCAGATGAGCGTTGCTCTAGCGACCAGCTAAATTTCCGGACCTTCCGGGCCCACCGGAAGTCACAAAACAGGCTGTTTCCGGCCTCCGGGGAGGTAGGGAAGGCTGTTTTCACCCTCCCCAGGCTCCTAGAAAGCCTCCGGAGCCTGGGGAGAGCGAAAAACGGGCCTTCTTCATCCCACCAGAAGTCAGTAAACGGGCTGTTTTCGGCCTCTGGAGGGCCTCCGGGGGGCCTGGGGAAGGCTGTTTTCACCCTCCCCAGGTTCCTAGAAAGCCTCCGGAGCCTGGGGAGAGCGAAAAACGGGCCTTCTCATCCCACCAGAAGTCAGTAAACGGGCTGTTTTCGGCCTCTGGAGGGCCTCCGGGGGGTCTGGGAAGGCTGTTTTCACCCTCCCCAGGCTCCTAGAAAGCCTCCGGAGCCTGGGGAGAGCGAAAAATGGGCCTTCTCATCCCACCAGAAGTCAGTAAACGGGCTGTTTTCGGCCTCTGGAGGGCCTCCGGGGGGCCTGGGGAAGGCTGTTTTCACCCTCCCCAGGTTCCTAGAAAGCCTCCGGAGCCTGGGGAGAGTGAAAAACGGGCCTTCTCATCCCACCAGAAGTCAGTAAACGGGCTGTTTTCGGCCTCTGGAGGGCCTCCGGGGGGGTCTGGGAAGGCTGTTTTCACCCCCCCCAGGCTCCTAGAAAGCCTCCGGAGCCTGGGGAGAGCGAAAAAACGGGCCTTCTCATCCCACCAGAAGTCAGTAAACGGGCTGTTTTCGGCCTCTGGAGGGCCTCCGGGAGGTAGGGAAGGCTGTTTTCACCCTCCCCAGGCTCCTAGACAGCCTCCGGAGCCTGGGAGAGCGAAAAACGGGCCTTCTCATCCCACCAGAAGTCAGTAAACGGGCTGTTTCGGCCTCTGGAGGGCCTCCGGGGAGGTAGGGAAGGCTGTTTTCACCCTCCCCAGGCTCCTAGACAGCCTCCGGAGCCTGGGGAGAGTGAAAAACAGGCCTTCTCATCCCACCAGAAGTCAGTAAATGGGCTGTTGGACTAGATGACCTTACAAGATCCTTTCCAACTCTTATTAGTCTAAATTGAATTATGTCTCTGTTGCTTTGAGCAGTAGAGCTAACAGCTTCCGCTTTCTTCCTTGCTCCAGACAACCCATCGCACGCAAGCCGAAATATTTTTCTTGCCGCAGCTGTTAAATCGCCAGCAGGGCGGGGACGATGGGATGTGTAATCCCAACACCTCTTGCAGCGTTGGTCAACCCCCCCGGCACGCGTTTCGTGCAATCCGGGAAGCTTGCATTTGTCCAATTGGAAATGGCAGTGGTGTCCCAGCCTTTGATCGGATTTGAAAATAATTACTTTGGGCAGGAAGGATTTGATAATGAGGCATAATGATAGGGAATACAACCTGAGATTTTTTTTCTTTTAACAATTTCAGGTTGTTGCTTGTTTTTGTTTTTTTTCCCCCCAGTTGGCACATGTAACCGAAACGCAAATCTTGCTTCAAAGCAGGACTTGCTTGGTACGGCTTAAACATTAATCCGTTCCGGCAGTGAAGGGTGGAATTTTATTTTTGAAACTGCTGGTTAATTTGCAAAAATCTTTGAAAACAAGGGTTGGATAACTCTGGGCCCTTTAACGACCTGTGGACTTCAACTCCCAGCATTCCCGAGACAGCCACGACTGGGGAATTCTGGGAGTTGAAGTCCACAGGGTCGTAATGGGGCCATAGCTGCCCGCCCGTTTTAAAAGATTCTGCACATCGTTTTGATAGACAAGGGAGCTCTGAAATGAATACTTTTCAGGTAGTCCTTGGCTGACGGCTGCAGCGGAGCCCAAAGATTTCTGTGGCTAAGTGAGACATGTGTTCAGTGAGTTTTGCCCCTGTTTTACGACCTTTCTTGGCATGTTCTTTGTTAAGTGCATCATTGCAGTCATAGGCCGCCACGGATAAATCCAAGAAAAGAAAAGTTTCAGAAGAAAACAGAATGTTTAATTCAACTGCATGGGAAGGGTTTTGTGGCTCCCGGTGTTTTCTTTTCGGTGGGAAACGGTGTCCAAATGGCTCTTTTGAGTGTTTAAGGTTGCAGACCCCTGTTCTAGGCAGGAGACATTATATATAGCAATAGCCCTTAGACTTATATGCCGCTTCACAGCGCTTTCCAGCCCTGTCTAAGCGGTTTACAGAGTCAGCCTATTGCACCCCCAATAATTTGGGTCCTTATTTTACCGACCTCGGAAGGATGGAAGGCTGAGTCAACCTTGAGCCTGGCGAGATTCGAACGGCCAAATTGCAGGCATATATATATCATCATCCTGGTCATATGGTTTTTTTTTATTTTTTGAAAACACATCACACCAGATCTGCGGATAGCAGGCACCGCCCTCCCGACAGAAGGTCTCGGAACAGAGTTGGAGGGGACCCTGAAGGTCTTCTAGTCCAACCCTCTGCTTAAGCAGAAGACCTTGTACCAGTTCAGACAGGTGGTTGTCCGGTTTCTTCTTGAAAGCCTCCAGTGATGGACGTCTCAAAGGTGCTTTTTTTCCAAGAGGCAACTGGACTTTTGTTTTTTTTTCTTTGAAGATGTTTCGCTTCTCGCCCAAGAAGCTTCTTCAGCTCAGAGCTCAGATGAGCCAAATTATTTAATTCAATTTTAGTTCTGTTTTTTAAATTTTGTATGTATGTATTTTATTGTTGGCTGTTCACCGCCCTGAGTCCTTCGGGAGAAGGGCGGTATACAAATTAAATAAAAGTAAAAGTAAACAGCCCCTCAAATATTGGAACACTGCTGCTCAACTGAGGTCGGGGATGAGGGGCCTTGTAGTCCTGGCCAAAGTGGCAGGGCTCCTGCACCCCTGAAGCCCACTTTGGATTTTGCTGATATTTCCGACTCTGCTAAAAAGAGGCCAAAGATCGGATTTGCACGGCAGGGTTGCGCCAATGAAAATATTTGCCCTCGGAGTACTACGCCAGACAGCGCCTGGTTAACCTTTAGCATTGTTTTTTTTTAGGAAGGCCACCGCGAGGCTTTATTACCGTAGGTAATAAAAGCAGGAAAAAGGATGCCATACTAGAAGGAGACTCTATGGTGGGGGGCAACCAGACTTCCGGTTGGCTCCAGAATTGAACGCGGGGCTTCCGGTTAGGACATTTGTGGCTCTTTGAGTGTTTAAGGTTGCCGACTCCTGCCGTAGGTAATAAAAGCAAGATGTAGGTAATCCTCAGCTTACGACGACTGTTTTTATGAAATTTATTTGCCATCCATCTCGTATCCAGTGACCCCGGGCGGCTTACAACATAAAAGCATGAAATGCATTAAAAACATTGAAAATCGTGATCCGTAGAAACACACGGCCGATAAAAACAGATTTAGCCATTAGCCGGGTCTGATCTAAACCTAACGCTTTCTCTTTTCTTCACGTCAAGCTTTCAGGATACTCTGCACCACATAAAGTGAGCCTAACTTGTAGCTTAGCCTCCTTAATTAGTATTTAAAGTAGGTTTGATGATGATGATGATTTTTAAATCAATGCATTTAAAAAAATTAAAATTCTTTTTTTTTTTTTTCCTTCCGCTAACGTTGGATTTTTTTTGTTTTGTCTTTCTTTCCTTTTTTGGTATGCTGAATGTTGCAGATGCGGTGGGACAGTGGGGGCCATCTTCACCTGCCCTTTGGAAGTGATTAAGACAAGGTTGCAGTCCTCAAGGTTGGCCTTCCGGGCTGTCTATTATCCGCAGGTCCATCTGGGCACGCTCAGCGGCGAAGGCGTGGTCCGTCCTACCTCTTTGCCCCCAGGTGTCCTCCAGGTGCTGAAGTGAGTGTCTTAAAAGTGTGGTCTTTGCATATATCGAAAAATTTTATATTGTTTGTTTAGCCTTGGCTGCTTTAAGACTTGTGGACTTCAACTCCCAGAATTCCCCAGCCAGCCATGGCTGGCTGGGGAATTCTGGGAGTTGAAGTCCACAGGTCTTAAAGTTGCAAAGGCTGAAAGAATACTATCTTAACCTATAGAAAAAAATATTAGAAAAATTCCTAAATGTTTTGCACTCAGAACCCTACTTCTAAACATTGTGGAAGACCCCAAAATCATTTTTCTATGATTTTTTCAGTATCTATACGAACAGTGCATCATCCGATTATAGTCAATTTGAGCATTGATATCACAATAGTAATAATATTCATTAGTACTGGTCATATAACAGTGTTTTTTCAACATAATAATACTGATTATTAATACTAATTCATATAAGAAACATATTGTAATAAGCCCTCATAGTAAAATTAATCCTTCTCTTCTAATTCGAAATGTTCCAACTTCTGTTTCTATTGGTTAACCATTGATAAAAACGAAATCCCCATATTTCAAAATATTCCATATCTTCCTTCTCTTTAATTTCAAGTGTTTGTCTATCCATTTCTGCACGTCCTAGTATTTTTTTTAAAAAAATATTATTATTATCATCTTCTCTTCTGTAGGGAACTCCACACCTTTCCAACGTTGTGAAAATTCAATTCTGGCCGCTGTTAAGACATATCGTATTAGATACACAGTTCCCTTTATTATATTTTTCTGGTATAACACCCAATGGAAATATTTCTGGTTTTAAATCTAGGGAATTAGGGAGTTTTTAAAGAAACGCCGGCCGATATTTATAATGTTGAAGGCAGCTGATTGTCCTTGATCGCTTCTCGGTGCAATTTTTTAAAGAGAGGGAACATTTTCAGGGAAGGCATATATCCATGCCAGGGGATAAAAAAAAATTAAAAAAGCTTGCTCGGCTGTTTTAAAAATATTCTCCTACACACACACCTTGGCAGTGATCTCTGCTGAGTCTGCATGCATTATGTAAGCGCAAAAGGGGGCTGGAGAAGAGAGGGAGGTTGGTGGGCAGTTCTGGCCTGAGATAAATAAATCGGAATAAAAGCAAGTTTAAAAGAAAAAGAAAAAAAAAAATCCGGCACCGTTGCCAGTTTAACATAATAAGAGGCCAAGCCGTGCTCCTCCTTGGCAGCCTCCTGGCACCTCTCCCCTTTTTTAAAAAAAAAACTCTCCGTTCCCACGGAAAATGGGAATTAGCAACTCTCCTCTGAACTTGTAAAGACAATGCAGGGTTTGTGTTTCCTACGTCGTCGGCTCCAAAAACCACAATTATTCCCCGTTCCAGCAGTGGGATGTCTTGGAAACCCAGATTAAAACAGACACCCACCCACCCCCGAATTCTTAGGGGTGACGCCGCACCACAGCCTGGTGTCTTTTGCGAAATTGGCCGGTATTTGCCCAGCCGTGAACAGCTGGAAAAAATAAATGCGTCGGAAGGAATGTCCGTTTGGGTTCAGTTCCAAGTGGGGAAGAAAAGACACAGGTGGAAAACATGGCGGCTGCTTGGAAAGAAAGAAAGGTTTTTAACGGTGGGCGGGATCCCATGACTTGATCTCGGGTGAAGAGAAAAAAAAAAGGGAAGAGATGCTGAGATTGCCTGAGTTTTATGCCTTCTCTGGGCTTTTCTGAATTCGAGCCTGTATTCTGATTGGTTGTCAGACTCCCATGGGGTCATGCAGGGGTAACTTTGTAGGTTGTCTGTCTCCCAGGCTTGGTTGACTCTTGCTGGGTGATGATGTAATGAAAGGGCTTTGGGGCAATTCCTACTATGGCTCCTGCCTGAAGGAGGTAGATCTTTGTTATGTAGAATAGACTGGCCCAGGCCTTAGCGGCCCACTGACAAAGGTGGGGCCTGAGTTTCTGCCTCCCTTTTAGGGAAAATATTCTGCCCTTTTAATATTTCCTAAAATATCTCATTTTCCTAGGAGAGGGGTGGGTGCTAACCTTACAAAAACGAAACCCTGTTGTAGCCTGAATAAAATGACTATCTTGTGCAGTGGTAGTATTAAGCAGGTTCTATCCAGTTCGGCGAACTGGTAGCGGCGGCTGCGGGAGGCTCCGCCCACCCGCACGTAATCACATCCCATTTATTCACGTTTTTGACGCTCTGTGCACGCATATTTCCATCCTGTTTTTAGTTGCTTTGAACAAATCTGCTTAAGTTTCTCCTCCTCTTCCCCCCCCCTTTTTTTTGTTTTCCAGGTCCATTTTGGAAAAGGAGGGCCCGAAGTCACTTTTCCGTGGGCTGGGGCCCAATTTGGTTGGAGTTGCGCCATCCAGGTAAAAATTTGAAGGCGGTTTTTCAATTCCAAAACTCACTTAACAAATGCCTTGCTTAACAAGAGAAATTGTGGGCTCCACTTTGGTTGTAAGCCGAGGACTCAACCTGTGTTTGTTTTGACTCTTTGCAGGGCTGTTTATTTTGCGTTTTATTCCCGAGCGAAGGAGCAATTCAACCACGTTTTCGTACCGAACAGCAATATGGTCCATATCTCTTCGGCAGCTTCCGCAGGTAGGTTAACCTGTCCCAGGTACCACATCTTTCTTTGCTCGTTCTTGTTCCGGTTGGACCGAGCATCCTGGCACTTTGCCCCAAATCCATCAGGCGCTTCCCCATTGCTCCACTGGAGGGAGAACATCATGGCTGCCTTTCCAGAGGAAGCTGCGAAGGAACAGTCATCACAAACAATTGCCGCTCTAGGACGCCACACTCACTCTCCTTAATGGCCCAGGCGTTCCACAGTTATGCTGGAACACACACACACACACACACCAGGGTGTCTTACCCCCACAGTATTTGTTTCCAGATAGTAAGTCATCCGTGTACCAAGTTTGGTTAAAATTGCTCGAGGCGTTCCAGAGTTATGCTGGAACATACATACATACAACCTTTTTTATATAAATAGTGTTTTGCACAATCCGGATTTTCACTCCTGCACTCCAGAGCGTGCTGACCGGGGGAGGGGGGATCCTGGGGATTGAAGTTCCTCAAAGGACTGATCCCATCTTTTCTGCTGGTTTTCTTTGCTCTTCTCCAGCTTTTGTGACGAACTCCCTGATGAATCCCATCTGGATGGTGAAAACCAGAATGCAGCTAGAAAGAAAGTAAGCAGGGAGGGGTATAGCTGGGTGGGGGAATTCTGGGAGTTGAAGTCCATCTACCTTCAAAGTTGTGAGCTTGAGAAAATGCTGCGCTAAAGCCTTAAATTTTAGAGATGAACAGGATACATTTCTGTTTTGAAGGGGGATAGAACTGGCAACGAGGGCATCCCCCATTTACCAACTAGTTGTAAACACCAGGATAGGCCCTAGTGAACTATTTAAAAATCTAGTTAAACCCATCACTCATTTGCTGATCGTTTCTGCCTGTTAAGAGTCCGTGGCTCGAAGCAAATGAACACCCTCCAATGCGCCAAGTACGTTTACCGCTCCGAAGGCATCCGGGGTTTTTACCGAGGCCTCACCGCCTCCTACGCAGGCATATCCGAGACCATCATCTGCTTTGCTATTTATGAAAGATTGAAGCAACTCTTAAAAGATCCCAGCTGGTCCCCTTTCACTGGAAACCCGGAGAAGAATTCCACCAATTTCCTCGGAATCACGGTTGCCGCTGCCATTTCCAAAGGATGCGCGTCTTGCATCGCTTACCCACACGGTAGGTTTTTTCCTGTTTTCATCCACATCTCTAAAACTTCCCCCTGGCCTAGCAGAACCTTTTATTTAACCAAGCAAAACCAATCATTGAAGGATTTGCCTCGTCTTCTTTTTTTAACGCACCATAATCCCTTGCGGGGTGGAATCTGGGCAACTGTATGGAGCTAGCAGAGCGTTTTACTGGCCGGATGCCCTCCTGTCACCAGTGCGGAGTTTCATTCAGCAGATATATTCTCAGTGTGCCCAGAGAAAGAAATATCTGCCTCTACCTACTCACAGCCTCCTGATTTTGAGGCGAGAGTTCCACCTCTTGGCCACCGCACCACTACAAGGATTTGCCTCTTGTTGTTGTGAAAATCAGGTTTCTAGTCCTTATTGTTCCGAGCACACCTTGCTCCGGAACGTTCCCCCTCTAAGCAGCGTTCCTATGTGAGAGAAAACAAGACAGCTGCACACTTTGCCACAGAAATGGGGGGGGGGGTGTTAAATCAAGCAGGACGCAGGTGTCTTTAACACGTAAGTGTGGCCAAATTTGGCATTCTCTGTGCAACAGAATTTTGAATTTTGTTCGTAATTGGTGCTTCACAGTAACTCGTGAAATGCTTAATTTTTAGATGTTTTCTGGATTTGGAATGTTTTTTCCCCTCTTAACAATGGTGGAGACTTTCACTAGCCTGCAGAATTAGAGCCCTTTTGATCTGTTTTGACCAACCCATGTTTTTTTTTTATTTGATTTATATGCCGCCCTTCTCCGGAGACTCAGGGTGGCTTACAATGTGTTAAGCAATAGCCTTCCTACTTTTGTATATTTTATACAAAGTCAGCTTATTGCCCCCACAAACTGGGTCCTCATTTCACCTACCTTAGAAAGGATGGAAGGCTGAGTCAACCTTGAGCCTGATAAGATTCGAACCTGCAGAAATTGCAGGCAGCTGTGTTAATAACAGGGTGCATTAAACCACTGTACTACCAAGGCTCCTAATTTTTATGCCACCCCTAATCAGTGCTGAATTTACCGTACTTTTTGGAGTATAAGACACACTTCCCCCCCCCTCCAAAAAGAGGGTGGAAATGTCGATGCGTCTTATACACCGAATATCGCCATTTTTGGCCTCCTGAAACCTCACCCTGCGTGTCCTGTTTTCGCAAAAAACGAGCCCGTTTTTGGCCCCTCGAATCCCCCACGCATCCCGTTCTTGCCCTCCCCAGGCCCCAGGAGCACTCTGCAGGCAGGGGTGGGTTCTACTTACCTTTACTACCGGTTTGCAACGGGAGCGCGCACACAGATCACCATTGATGTTGTCAGGGCGGGTGGACAGAGCCCAGTGGTGGGTTTCAAAATTTTTTTACTATTGGTTCTGTGGGCGTGGCTTGGTGGGTGTGGCATGGCATGGTAGGCGTGGCAGGGGAAGGTTACTGCAAAATCCCCATTTCTTCCCGATCAGCTGAGAGTTGGGAGGGGGGCAGGGCCAGTCAGAATTTTTATTACCAGTTCTCCAAACTACTCAAAATTTCCGCTACCAGTTCTCCAGAACTGGTCAGAACCTACTGAAACCCACCTCTGGCGGAGCCTCCCGCCGGTTTTACTACCGGTTCTATAGAACCGGGAGCAACCCACCACTGTCTGCAGGCCTCCCAAACCCTCTGCGAGTCCTCGTTTCTGCGAAAAACGGGCCCATTTTTGCAAAAAAAAAACGAGCCCATTTTTGGGGAAAACGGGATGCGCAGAGGGTTTGGGAGGCCTGCAGAGTGCTCCTTGGGGCCTGGGGAGGGCAAAAACCGGACGCGCAGAGGCCAAAAGCTATTTCCCCCCCCTTGTTTTCGTCTTTGAAATCTTGGTGCGTCTTATACTCTGGCGCATCTTATCGTCCGAAAAATACGGTAAACGCAGGCTGTTGTCCTGACATTTCGTTTCTCCCTGTCCCCAGAGGTCATCCGGACGAGGCTACGCGAGGAAGGAACCAAGTATCAGTCCTTCCTCCAGACGGCCCGTCTGGTCTTCCAGGAAGAAGGCTATTTCGCTTTTTACCGCGGACTTTTTGCTCAGCTGATGAGGCAGATCCCGAACACGGCTATCGTCCTGTCGACCTACGAATTGATCGTGTATCTGTTAGAAGAGCAAGTGAAATAGCCGCCCGAAGCCCAGACCGAATGCAGCCAGTAACAAATAATAATAATAATAATAATAATAGCACGATTGTGGGACAGTTCACAACACACTAGGGGAAAAAAACAAACTTTTGAAACGGACAGTCTTGCTCGCTGGATGTTGTTTTGAGGAGGGGGCATTTCTCCTCTCCCCCCACCCCATTGCAATTTCCCTTCCAGAATCTTTGTTTTTAAAGGTATGTATGTTAATAAGAGTTATTGCTTTCTTTTTTTTTTTAACTTAAATGAGAGACGGTTCAGAAATTAAAAAGAATGACTGAATTAAATTATGTTATTTAATTTCTGCGGATGCTGTTGGGACAGACTCTTCTTTTATACGCTCGTATAGCATGGGCAAGAAACATTGGACATAACATACAATGGGAGGACTGGGGAAAAGTATGGGAAACTAATTATATCATGACTAAATCAGCAGTTTATAGAGAGGAACCTTCGAGATTAGCGAAGATGTATCCAAATTTAAACCCAACCTGCTGGAAATGCAAACAGGCACAGGGCACTTTCTTTCATGTCTGGTGGCTTTGCCCCAAAATTAGGAAATACTGGGAAAAAAAATAAAAACTTGGCTAACAGAAATAACAGCAGAGGAAATAAGAGTTGAAACCAGAAATTTTTCTATTTAGGCATGATCAAAGAATATCTCTGGTTTTTTTCTTCCGGTTTCACTTTTCTTCTTTCGACTGTCACCTCTATTCTAACAGCAAACCCTTCCTAAAAGTCATTCATTGCATTACATTCTTGATTAAATTATCTTTCCATTGAGATATCATTTTATGGCACGACTCCCTCTCCTCTCCCCCCCCAAAAAAAGTAGTGTTATTTAGCTAAATTTTAGAAAATAACATTTTCCCCCCAGAAGGTTTCCAACAATTTTGGCCACTAGTTTCGAAGGCGTTTTGGATCCATCACGCCCGAGACGGCTTTCCAAGCGTGATCGTGGCGAAAAAGCACGACATTGTCCGTTCCCCTTCGCCCCCTCCCCAATCTTTTCTTTTTCTTTTTAATCCTCGCGCGTTGGTGGACTCGGTTCCCCCTCGCCTGCCGGCACGACGCTGCCCTTTCACGAGGCGGCCCTCGAGCTTCCCCCGCCGCCCACCTTCCAATCCCTCCCCTCCGCCTCCTGTTTATAAAAGACCCGCGGCTGCGGAGCGGCTTGCAGCGGAGACCGAGCCGAACGGCGCGGCTTAAAAGACAGAAGCCGTGCAGCCGATTCCCCGCTGCAAAGGAAGATCCCGGATCGCGGGAACCTCGGTGCGCGCGGTGGGTGGGTGGCTGGGTGAGGACCGTGGTGTAACCCTGTAGAATAGATCCCCCCTCTGTTAGAGATCCATCCATGCCCAGGGGGAGGATCCGGGCTCGGTGGAAGAGGCGGAGCCGAGGAAGGTCAAGCCGCGGGAAGGAGAGGGAAAAGGCGCTGATCCCAAGCAGCCGCCGCCGCCGCCGCTGGATTTCCCCCTTCGAACGTTCGCCCCCAAGCGGCCGCGTGATTGGCTGCCCGGCGTTCTAACACCCTCCGCCCCCCGCGGGGAGAGCCGCGACTCAACGTTCCAAAGGGGCGCCGAACGTTCTAAAAAGGCAACTCAACGTTCCATCGGCGGATACACGCGGGGAATTTTTTTTTTCCCCCTCCAGCACGAGGAAAAAGGAGGCAGCGACCCCCGCTTTTTTTTTCCTCCCCCCCTCTTTTTTTCTCTCCTTCTCCATCCGCGATTCGGTTTCTTTCTTTCTCTCTCTTTTTTTTTTTTTTTAAACCACCCCTCCATTCCTCTCCACCCCACGGCTCCCCACCACCACCACCACCATGGAAGACGTCGGCGCCTTGGTGGCGGCTTACTCCCGCGGCCTGGCCGGGGGCCTCGGCGTGACCGTGTGCGCCGCCGCTGCCGGCGGAGTCTTGCTTTATAAAATCGCGCGAAGGTAAGAGAAGGAGGCCGAGCTTTTGGCTTTGTATATTGCCTCTCGCGATCGGGGGCGATTGGTGGGTGGGGGGGCGAGGCCCAGAGGCGGATTTGCCCTTCTTACGACTTGGGGGTGGGTGAGTGGGGGAGACTCGGCGTCCTGTCTTAACCTCCCCCCCCAACCTCCCCATTCCTCCACTTCGCGCGCTTATCAAACGCTAAAAAGTTTTGGGGGGGGTCTCGCAGACGGGGGCAGCAGACCCGGGGGATGTACTCGGGGATGTTGTCCCCCCCTCCTCCGCCCCGTGGCTCCAAAGGCGGGGGCGATGGGGTGTCTTTTAAGGGGGAGAAATCGCCCTGGCTGGGGAGCCTTGCAGCCTGCCCGGCCCACGTGCCTGGAGTATGGGAGTGCAGCCCTTCCGGGTTCAACTTTGCATTTTGTGTGTGTGTGTGTGTGTGTGAACGTGTGTCCCTGCCTGCCTGGAATGTGAATTCAAAGTAGCTTGGAGAGAAATCTCCGCTGAAATGGCCAAAGATAGGTAGGTAGGTAGGTACGGTAGGTAGGTAAGTAGATACAGTAGATAGATATGGTAGGTAGGTAGGTAGATGGATAGGATAGATGGATAGGATTAGATAGGTAGGTAGGTAGATAGATAGATGGATAGGCTAGGCTAGGATTAGATAGATACATAGGTAGGTAGGTAGATATGGTATAGGGTAGGTAGATAGGTAGATGGATAGGAATATGTAGGTAGATTAGGTAGGTAGGTACATGGATACTATAGATAGATAGGGGTAGATAGGTACCCCAAAAATAAGACACCCCCTGATAATAAGCCCAATCGGGCTTTTGAGTGCATGGCAATAAGGCCAAGCGCTTATTTCACGGTTCCAAAAAATATAAGACAGGGTTTTATTTTCGGGGAAACATGGTATCTATCTATCTATCTATCTATCTATCTATCTATCTATCATCTATCTATCTATCTATCTATCTATCTATCTATCTATCTATCCTGTTTCCCCCAAAATAAGACATCCCGATAATAAGCCCAATCGGGCTTTTGAGCGCATGGCAATAAGGCCAAGCGCTTATTTCAGGGTTCCAAAAAATATAAGACGGGGTCTTATTTTCGGGGAAACACGGTAGGTAGGTAGATATGGTAGGTAGGTAGGTAGATGGATATATAGATAGATACAGTAGGTAGGTAGATGGATAGGATAGGATAGGATAGGATAGATAGGTACCATGTTTTCCCGAAAATAAGACCCTGTCTTATATTTTTTTGAACCCTGAAATAAGCGCTTGGCCTTATTGCCATGCACTCAAAAGCCCGATTGGGATTATTATCAGGGGGTGTCTTATTTGGGGGGAAAACCGGGTAGGTAGATATGGTAGATAGATACGGTAGGTAGGTAGATGGATAGGATAGATGGGTAGGATTAGATAGATTAGATTAGATAGATAGATAGAATAGATAGATAGATAGATAGATAGATAGATAGATACATACATACATAGGTAGGTAGGTAGGTAGGTAGGTAGGTAGGTAGATGGATAAGGTAGGTAGATGGATAGGATAGATAGATAGATAGATTTATTTATTGGTTCGATTTATATGCGCCCTTCTCCGGAGAATCAGGGCGGCTTACAATGCGTTAAGCAATAGCCTTCATACTTTTGTATATACCTGCTTAGTAGGGCTTTCGTTCCCCCCCCCCCACCCAAGCGGTGTTCTTTTTTATACAAAGTCAGTTTATTGCCCCTACAATCCGGGTCTTCATTTTACCTACCTTGGAAGGATAGAAGGCTGAGTCAACCTTGAGATGGATGGATGGATGGATAGATAGATAGATAGATAGATAGATAGATAGATAGATAGATAGATACATAGATACATAGATACATAGATACATAGATACATAGATAGGTAGATTTTATTTATTTATTTATTGCGATTTATTTACAAAATGACAACTTCAATACAAATCACAATACAATACCAAATTAAAATCAGTAACCCAATTAAAAAATGATTTAAAATTATACCAGTGTACCCCCAAACGGATCAGTTGATACTGTAGGTAGGTAGATACAGTAGGTAGATGGATAGGATAGGATAAGTTAGGTAGGTAGATGGATAGATAAGGTAGGTAGGTAGATAGGATAGGATAGGATAGGATGATAGATAGATAGATAGATAGATAGATAGACAGACAGATAGATAGATAGATAGATAGATAGATAGATAGATACTGTAGGTAGGTAGGTAGATACAGTAGGTAGATGGATAGATAGGATAAGTTAGGTAGATGGATAGATAAGGTAGGTAGGTAGATAGGATAGGATAGGATGATAGATAGATAGATTAGATAGATAGATAGATAGATAGATAGATACTGTAGGTAGGTAGGTAGATACAGTAGGTAGATGGATAGGATAAGAGGTAGGTAGATGGATAGATAATGTAGGTAGATAGGATAGGAGAGGAGAGGTAGGATAGGAAAGATGATACACAGATAGATAGATGATAGATAGATAGATAGAAAGATAGATAGATAGATAGATAGATAGATAGATAGATCTCTCACACAAACACACTCAACAAACTCATGCAAGCTGCAAAAAGCATCCCTTGGGATAAGTTTAGCAAATTTGTGGCCTAACTTCCAGGGGGTTTTCATAAGAAACATCAGAATCTTGAGCTGTACCATCCCGTCTGGTATACCCCAAAGGGCCGCAGGATTCCTGGAGAAGCAGATGTTCGTGTGAGATTGTTCACGGGCAAAGGCAATGCTACACAACTTCGCTACAGATTTTGTTTTATTTAAACGGGGGTCTTCGGAGGTCACGTTGGGTGTTTTTTGGGATAGGAGACCACGAGGAAATCCAAGGGCAGCAGGGTAAACGGAGTTGGGCAAAATATGCCGGCAAAAAAAGGAGATGCCAATCTGAATGAAGTTTAACTTGATTTAACTTACATGTTTATTGTTACAAATACACACTACCTTTTCTTTGATCACCGTTCACCTATTTTATCCTCACCACAACCCTCCGAGGTAGGCTGGTAGAAGGGAAGTGGTTTCGTGCAATCCCAGTGAATATATATATATATATACTGTTGAGGATACCTGCATTAGATCTAATACTTTAAAATAATATTACAGTGTATTATTAAAGTATCAAAATAATACTAATGTTTTGCTCTGAAGTTATTCCGTATTTTAAGGGATTCGCGATTTTGAAAAAGGGGGATAACTCGGTTTATTTTTTTACAAGACTGTTGAATGGTCAAAGGTGCTTCGAATATTTCTGCAGCAATTGTCATTTTTTTTAAAGGACCCAAAGAGACTTGACATATTTCTTTCTCTAGGTATCGGAGGACCCATCGTCCCTAGCCCGCTGGGCTGGGAATAACGGAGGACAGAACCAATTCAAAAATTCTTCAAAAATTTTAGGAAGGGGTGCTTGGTTGCTGGGTGGGCGTGGCCAAGTCGGCCTCCTGTACCACGGCGAGGACTGGCTTTTTGCCCTCCCCAGGCTCTGGAGGCTTTCTTTGAGCCTCCAAGAGGGCAAAAACGGCCTCCCCAGGCTCCGGAGGACCTCTGGAGGCCGGAAACGATAGGCCCGTTTTTCACCCTCCCTGAACCTCCGTGCACGCCCTGCACATACCTGCATCCAAAACGGGCCGTGTGGGGACTCCTGGGAGGGGCAAGGCCAGCTAGGAGTGGGATTTGGGGGTTCTCCGAACTCCACCGAACCTTACCTAGAGTTTCTCCCGAATTCCCAGCAGCCCACCCCTAGGCATAACCCGAGAGCCTGTGCTGAATTTTTCCTTAGAGAACATTAAAACGTTGAGCAGAGTCAGGATCTGTGGCACAATTGTGGCTTAAATCAACCAGAGTTGGAGTTTATGGGGAAAAAACATGGCCTGCGGGAAAATATTATTATATTTTTATTGGTTTTTGAGGAACAAAAAATGGTCAGTTCAGAGGGGTGAGGATTTGGGGGATGGGCCAGGAAGCATTGGCCTGAAATTGGGCAATTAAATCTCTGGCTCTATAGAGAGAGGCCCCTTCTTGTTTTTTTCACACCCTTCCGAAAGCAGAACAAATAAGGAGCCTTGGTAGTACAGTGGTTTAAAGCACCCTGTTATTAACACAGCTGCCTGCAATTATTGCAGGTTCGAATCTTACCAGGCTCAAGGTTGACTCAGCCTTCCATCCTTTCTAAGGTAGGTAAATTGAGGACCCAGTTTGTGGGGGCAATAAACTGACTTTGTATAAATATACAAAAGAAGGAAGGCTATTGCTTAGCGCATTGTAAGCCGCCCTGAGTCTCCGGAGAAGGGCGGCATATAAATCAAATAATAAAAAAAAAAAAGTTACAACCACACTGAAAAAGTAACTTACGACCGTTTTTCACACTTATAACCGCTTGATCAGGTGATCGGTGTATTTCAAGACATGGGGAAGAATTTGTATATGGTTAGAAAAGTAATATGAAGATAAGAGGATAGATAAATGATTTAGATAATAGAAAGTTAAATTGAGGGAGAGGATAAAAAAGAAATAGAAACCCAGATGACACCAGAGTAAATGAAAAGGGGGGAAAAGAAAGAAGATTATAAGAATAAATGTACAATTCTGATGATAATACTGATAGATAGAATAAATCTGAAAAGAAACTGAAAGAAAGTATATATGATTAGAATACAGGAGTTGCTCGGATACCAAATGAGAATATTCCACAGCAATTGATTAGTTTCCATCCATGGTTTCTTTTCTTGCCTTCTGGTGCTTTGGGAAATAAGTGGACCCCCTCTTCTTATGTGGCAGCCCCTCAAATACTGGAAGACTGCTATCATGTCCCTTCCAGCTCTGTTCCGATTGCTTACTTAACTGCAGCAAGGAAGGTCGTAAAATGGGGCAAATCTAACTTAACAACGGTCTCTATTAGCAATGGAAATTTTGAGCTCAGTTTTGGTTGTAAATCAAGGATTACTTGTAAGCAGAAGCTGAGGGATTTCTAGTTGATATTAGCAGTTGGCCGGTCAGGATAGGACTGGCACTCACAGGAATGCTGCCAAAAATTCTTTTAGGAACAATTGGCTATTTCTGAGACACCTGTCTATCTAATACCCGGTTTGTTAGCGCACTGCAAAGAATGAATTAACAATTTTGGTTCTGCTTTATAAGAGCTGAAAGCGAGGAATCAGCTGATCGGGCTTAGCTTGGGGAAAAAAGATTTAATTTATCTATGGCTGTTTATGGCTTATTCAGAGCCCACTTTTCTATTATTTCTCATGTGTTTTATTGGGTCCGATAAAAAGGAAATGCATCAAAATTTGGGGCGGCAAATCCTTTAATTTTTGTATTTGCAGTTCAAAAGTTGGGAAGAAACGTTTATGTACAAAATAGAAGGGCATTTCTAACACTTAGCCAAGGTGTTCTTGGAAGCTTTTTAAAGTTCTTTTAATATTTGCATGGTTTTTTTTTTAATTGATGGAGTTGGGAAATTCTTCTGACTAGCTAACAGCAACAATTAAGGGAACCCTAATATAAAATAATCCTAAACTGGCCTATTTAACCCTTAAAGAAATGACTTGACTTGAAGGATCAGTGATATAACGAAGGTTAGCTTAACTTGGTTAAATAAATAGTGTAATTATTACTGTTATTAACATTAATATAATTGATACTAATGCAATGAATATTGTTGTAAACACTTCGATGATTATTTCCTAAAATGATTTGTACCCAAACACACTGTTCAATTGAAACGGGAATTTTTGTATGTTTAAAAAATAAAATAAAAACTTATTACAAAAAAAGAAAGAGAAAGAAAGAAAGAAAGAAAGAAAGAAAGAAAGAAAGAAAGAAAGAAAGAAAGAAAGAAAGAAAGAAAGAAAGAAAGAAAGAAACGACTTGACAGTTTCCCTAACTGAATCAGCTGTTGTTAAAAAATAAATTAAAATTGTTCAGATTTTAGGATTTGGCAAGGATTGGTTCATTTCTCTCCAGAGAGAAAGAAAAGGGGTGTCTTTAAAAAAAAAACAAACTTTTAAAGTGTGATGAGCAATATCCTAATGAAAAATAGCATGAATTTTGTCAATTTAATGGAAAGGTGATGAAAAGTTTAGATTGCTTTTTAAAGCAAGTGGGTTTTTAAAAAAACCACTTTTTAAAGGTTCCTCTCGGGGCGGGGGTTCTGTGGTAAGCCTTCCTCTGCAAGTCCCTTGATTCTTAAACCCTCGTCCCCAAACACTATGGGTTTTGTAGTCCCCTACATTCAGAAAGCAGCCAAGCCAGAAAACAGAAGTTTTATGGATATGATGAAAGCCAGTTGGGATATCACCAAGGAAGCCAAAGAAACCCCTTGGGGGGGGGGGTGTTCTTTACCCCACGAAAGAGTCAACAGCTGCACCCCCAGGGCAGAGCCACATGGGAACAGGTGTCCAGATGCTATGGAATCTCTCCTCGCTGCCATTTGCTGCCGCTGTTAAGGCAGAAGTCCAACAGGTGCTGACACCCAATCCTGGTTTTTAAGGGAATTGGCTTCCCCGTAGCTGGGGGCTAGTTCTTCAATTGTCAAAGGGGGGAATGGGGGCTGCCACATTCCCCCCTCCCCTTTATTTAATTAGCCCTAGCAGCTGGTCACATGTGTTGCAGCCAAGTGTTCATACTGGATTTTTATTTTCAACAAAATTATTCTTCTCTTCCTTACTGGTATCTTATCTCTTCCCACTTATTACTATAACCTTGTTGCTTGTATCTTTCAATTATGTTGTTTTTATTTGTTTCCTAGTACGATTTGATAGCTTGTTGTATCTTTTTATTCTTGATGAATGTATTTTATTTTTCTTTACGTACACTGAGAGTATATACACCTAAGACAAATTCCTTGGATGTCTAATCACATTTGGCCAATAAAGAATTCCTATTCTTTCTATTCTATTCTATTCTATTCTATTCTATTCTATTCTATTCTATTCTATTCTATTCTATTCTATTCTATTCCATTCCATTCCATTCCATTCCATTCCATTCCATTCCATTCCTGTTCTGTCTGTTCTGTTCTGTTCCATTCCATTCCATTCTTTACTTTCCTATTCTATTCTATTCCCTATTCTATTCTATTCTATTATTTGGGGGGGGGGGTTCCTCCCAGACATCCCTGTTTTTGCTTCTTCCCTCAGTCTAGTCCAGAAAGGGGGGGGGGATGGCATCCATTATTATTATTATTATTATTATTATTATTATTATTATTATTATTATTATTATTTACACAAAAATGACAGTATACCACAGCAAACGAGATAACCATGCTGGATTTCGTATCACAATCACTAGTCGAACACTTCTTCTTCTTCTTCTTCTTCTTCTTCTTCTTCTTCTTCTTCTTCTTCTTCTTCTTCTTCTTTCTTCTTCTTCTTTCTTCTTCTTCTTCTTCTTCTTCTTCTTCTTCTTCTTCTTCTTCTTCTTCTTTTCTTCTTCTTCTTATTCTTCTTATTTTATTATTATTATTATTATTATTATTATTATTATTATTGCTTTTGAGCAGAAAGTAGGCAGAAAAACTTCTCTCTATCCAAGAGGCGGCAAAATATTGGGGCGGGGTGGTGCTGCCTCTTGGACCAGCCTAGTGAGACGGTTGCTAGGTAACCCTAAGATGCCTCCGTTGCCCGGCAACAGAAACCCTTTCTGAAGAAGCAGGAAGGAAGTGGCAAGGTTACTAGGCAACCAGCAAAAAAAACCCCTGCTTCATCTGAAGCAGGCAGGAAGTGGCAAGGTTGCTAGGCAACCAGCACACGGCTTCTCTCCATCCTTTCCAGCCAACGGGCCTTCCAGAATGCCTTTGTGCCATTTTTGGAGCAAAAGGTTCCAACGTTTGGTGGGCGATGGGGTCCCATAGATTAAAGTGGAGTCCAGTTTTTTTGGGGGGGGGCATGAGTAAAATAGGGATTGGGCCCTGCTTGTGGGACCCACCCACCCACCCCAACCGAAGGACCGTGGCCTACCCTTTCTTTGTGCAAAAATTGTGATTTAAAATATGGATGTGAAAGTGCAAAAAGTCCTGCAGAAACGACTTAAGAATTGTCCAACTTTATTTATTTATTTATTTATTTATTTATTTATTTATTTATTTATTTATTTATTTATTTATTTATTTATTTTCAATTTATATACCGCCCTTCTCCCTGAGGACTCAGGGCGGTGCACAGCCAGAATTAAAAACATGAAATACAAATTTTTAAAAAACAATTAAAATCTATATAAATATATCTATATAAATCAACTTCAAAGTTGGGGGGGCGGCCCATTGTCCCCCTTTTTTTATTTTTGGATGGTTCTTAATTTCTCCTTCCTCCCTCTTCCCCCCCCCCCCCCCCCCGCCCACAGGCCGAAGCCCACCCACACGACGGTCAACTGCTGGTTTTGTAACCAGGACACCGTGGTGCCGTACGGGAATCGCAATTGCTGGGATTGTCCGAATTGTGAGCAGTACAACGGATTTGAAGAGGTGGGCCTGGCGTCGCTCCGGGTGGCCGGTCCCTATTCGGGGGCCCAAATAGGGACCTAGTGGGAATGGGGATTTTGCAGGATCCTTAGTTTGATCCAGCGGTGGAATCCAATTTTTTTTTTTTTTACTAGCGGTTCTGTGGGCGTGGTGTGGCTTGGTGGGCGGGGCTTGGTGGGCGGGGCAGGGGAAGTTTTGAAGGCGATTAAAACTGATTTGTTAGACTCTTTCTTTTCTTTTCTTTCTTTTTTTCGTTCCTCTTAGAATGGAGATTACAACAAGCCAATTCCAGCTCAATACATGGAGAATCTAAATCACGTCATTTCCGGGGCGGGGGCCTTCTACGACCCCACCAAGCCTCAACAATGGGTCAGTAGCCAGGTTCTCCTTTGTAAGAAGTGTAACAACTACCAGACCATGAAGATCAAGCAACTGGCGTCCTTCAGCCCCCGAGAAGAGGTAGGAGAGCGAACGAAAGTCGTTTCCCCTGTCTGGTTTTGCTCCCGGACTCAGTTTTGCTCATCTGTAAAATGGATGCCTTGTTTGCTTCTGTTCTAAAAGTACGCAAACGGGGCTCGTGCAGCACTACTTATTTGATGCTGCCTCCCCTACACGGTTGCGCGTTCAAAGTGCCTTAGAAAATACAGGCCGTCCTCGGGTTACGACCATAATTGAGCCCAAAGTTTACGTTGCTAAGTGAAACACTCGTTAAGTGGGTTTTGCCACGTTTTACGAAGTAACCTTGTGTTGTGGCCTGTGCGGCTGGTGGCTGATTCGGACAGCGAGGAGGCTGGTGTGGTGCTGCGCCAGCAGCCTGTGCAGCTGGCACTCGAGTTGGACAGTGAGGAGGCTGGAGAAGATGTGGTGCCAGAGGCGGGGATTCAGCCAGGGCCTTCAGAACCTCCAGAAGCTCCTTTAAGTGAAGAGGACGAAGAGGAGGAGCCTCTTCTCGATGCATGGGCACGCAGAGAAGGAGGTCTCCTCGAGAGTAAGGCTTGGGGCTAATTGGCCACTCCCTTAGCCTATTTAAGGAGGAAAGCCAACTGAAGCAATTTGCAGGGAACAACTTCATTCATTCTCCTTCGTGCCTTGATCTTTAGTTCTCTGCCCAATTGCTTCTGGGCTTTCTGCCAACCATAGTAAGATTAAGATTATTTATTCTTTGAATTCTTGTAGGCTGTTAAGAAAGTTAATTAACAGCCTTTGTTTGGAAAAAAAAAAACTGATTTAATTTAGTAAACTAAGGTTTGTACAGATTTAGTGTGTGCTGCGTTTTTTGGGGTCCGTAGCTGGGGCAGAACACCTGGTCGTGACCCGAATCCTTGCCCATTCAATTAGTGACACGGTGGTTTGAGTGAATCCTGTTTTCCCTATAAACTTCGCATGTTGGATGGTCCCCGAAGTGACCCCTGGGACGTTGCGACCGTCATAAATACGATCCAGTTGCCAAGCATCCGAATTTTTATGGCGTGGGCATGGGGAAGCTGCAACAGTTGTAAAGTTTGAAAGTCACTTTTTTCCCCATGCCGTTGTAACTTTGAATGGTCACTAAATGAACTGTTGTAAGTCTCCTAAACCCTATCTGTCCTGACCCAGCTCTCCAAGCACGACAACCCCCCTGACGTGAACGCAAAAGATTTCTTTATTAGGAACGCCGGCAGCCCCGGCAAAAAGTTTCTCTCTCACCGCAGGCTAAGAAATCCGGCCGGTCCGGAGATGAACAGTTGTCTGCCACACCTATTCATCTCCTCCCCCTGCCTTTTATCCCCAGAGCTAGGGTGGGGCTTTGCTAGTAGCAGTGGCTCTTCTGTCCCAAGGACCGGCCCATTGATTTCCAGTGCTCTCCTCTCCTCTGCCTTCAGTGCATCTGCACGTCAGGCACTGGACCCAGCTCTTCCTCTTCCTCATCAGCCACCTCCAGACTTGGGGGCTGTTGACTCTCCATCTGAGGGCTGACGGACAGCCCAGGCTCCGCCTCTGTCTCTCTCTCTCTCTCTCTCTGCCAACTCCATTCCCTCTTCCCCCTCGGAGTTCTCAGGTTGCGTTGATGCTGACCCTGGCCCCCCACGTCTTCTCCTCCTCCTCCTCCTCCGATTCGGCTGCTGAAGGAACCAGCGGCCGACAGACCACAACGCTATCAAATTTTTTCATTCTAATTTCTCTCTTTTTGGGGCAGGGCAAATACGACGAAGAAATCGAAGTATATAAACACCACTTGGAGCAGACTTACAAACTCTGCCGGCCCTGCCAAGCCGCCGTCGAATATTATATCAAGCATCAAAACCGCCAGCTTCGCGCTCTCCTCCTCCGGCACCATTTCAACAATCGGAAAAGCGACAAGACGTACATGCAGGTAGGAAGGGTGTCGGGACCTCCCATCTTGGCGCCGTCTATTTGAAGGCCTCGCCGTTCAGCTCCGCTCATGCAGCAGGGGGACTGAAGAGATTGAAATCTTAGCAATTCTGCTGGTGTGATTGTGGTGCTTGGTTCTGTCTCTTTTTCGGCTACATGCAAAATACCGTATTTTTCAGACTAAATTTAGAAGAGGAAAACAACAACATGTTCCCCTTTTTTTGGGCCGTTTTCATTTTTTCTGAAAAAAGCCTGAAAAACAGGCCAAAAAAAGCCTTGAAAACAGGCTGAAAAAAGCCTCAAAAACGGACCGAAAAAAGCCTCGAAAACGGGCCGGAAAAAAAAACCTAAAAACGGGCCAGAAAAAGCCTCGAAAATGGGCCGGGAAAAAACCCAAAAATGAGCCAGAAAAAGCCTCAAAAACGGGCCGGAAAAAACCCCAAAAACGGGCCAGAAAAAGCCTCAAAAATGGGCTGGAAAAAGGCCCGAAAACAGGATATGTGGAGGCCAAATAAACGTCTGGCAGGTGGGCGGGGCTTCGGCAATATTCGGTCTATAAGACGCACAGACATTTTCACCCCCTTTTGGGAGACAAAAAAGTGTGTCTTATAGTCTGAAAAATACGTTATTTTATTTTATATTATATTTTATATATATAGAGAGAGAGAGAGAGACAGAGAGAGAGAGAGGGATGTCCTTTGAGTGGTGCAGTGGCCTAGAGGTGGAGCTCTCGCCTGACTATCAGGAGGCTATGAGTTCGATCCTAGGTAGGGGAAGATATTTCTCTCTCTGGGCACAGTGAGAATATATCTGCTGAACAAAACTCCGCATTGGTGACAGGAAGGGCATCCGGCCAGTAAACACTCAGCTCCATTCAGTTCCCCAGACTCCACCCCGCTAAGGGATTATGAGGCCGTTATATGATGAGGAGGAGGAGAGAGGGAGCTCCTTTCTTTTGCCTTTAAACGTTTCAAGCTCAACATGACTCCTAGGGCTGGAAGGGACCTCCGGAGGTCTTCTAGTCCAACCCCCTCCTCAAGGCCGGAGACTTTATACCATCCTGGTCAAATGGTTGTTTTATTTTTAAACACGTACACCAGATCTGCGGTGTCTTGAAGTTTCTTTTTTTTCCCCGTCCGTAGAGTTTTTACGCCTCGGCTTCTGCGGGCAATACCACCCCACTGCGAGTGATTCTGCTGCGGTTTCTGGCCTTCCTCAGTTGCACCACTCTTGTGGTGATGGCCCTCTACGGGTCAGGAGACCCCTTTTTCTCGGGTTCTGCTACATCGCCGGTTCCGCCAAGCTCAGGTCTGTCGAGGAACAAGACCGAGCCACCTCCGCCGGTGATCCTGCCACGTAACGGCTCCCTCCTGGAATCGATGGGCTGGCAAGAGGCTATCCAGTCACTCTCAGCGCAAGCCACGGAGATGCTGGAAGCAGCCTGGATCTACGGGAAGAACCATCAAACGGCCGTGGTCGTCTTGGGGCTTTTCACTTGCATCCTGGCTATGTTGCTGGCGGGACGGATCAGGTACGATGGGGCGGTCTGCGTGAAGGACTTTGGGAGACGGAGGAAGCCAAGTGCCCGAAATCCATTCTAAGCAAACACTTGAAACCCTGGATGTTGTAGGGACGCTTAAATCTCCCAGGGGTCCTCAATCCAGCGGTGAAAGGCACTTACCTTCGCTACCGGTTCGGGAGTGTAAGCTTGCGTTTACTCCGCTCGTGCACGCCTCTTCTACACATGCCCAGAGGGTCAAAAACAGGACGTAATGACGTCCCGGCGGATGGGTGGAGCCTCCCGCTGCCGGTGCTACTGGTTCGCGTGAGCCAGATAGATCCAGCCGGATTTCACTGCTGCCCCAAACATAATTGCAGCACGATACAAACCCTTGAACCTTAGACAGTGGCGTAGAGAAGGGAAAATTAAGCCGCGGAGAAAGGTAAAATTTACGACGCTTCCGGCTGATGAGGGATAAACCCAGGCAGTCCTTGCTTTGCAAATGTATAATCTGGAGACAACAGCGTGCAAGGAAAAAGGGATGAGGAGGGAAGTGTGGGGGAGAAAAAAACTTTGTTCATAAAAGCTCTAGAGCAGGGGGCGGTCAAACACAAGGCCCGATGTGGTCGGATTCGGCCCGTGGGGCCATCCTGGAAAATATTAAGGGGCTGGCCCGTGTGGCTTTGGCCCAGTCTACCCAATGTGAAGAGGAAAACATGCCAGCAGTTTAGGGAGTGGTGTCAAGCTGGCCACGCCCACCCAGTCAGCCACACCCACCCAGGTCAATTACAGCCCTGATGCGACTCCCACCATGCATGTGCGTGCGCCCCCGTGTCCCCCCCCCCCCGTGCATGCGCACGTGACCCACCCACCCTGTCCTGTTTTGGGCCTAGCAGGCCTCCCTGCAGCCTCCTGGAACCAAATATTTTTTGTCCCAGGAGGCTGCAGGGAGGCCTGCTAGGTCCAAAACAGGCCACAGGCGGGGTGCCACCCACCCCCGCGCTCCTCCCTGCCTCCTGCGCACGCAACCCCCCGGACATGCATATGTGTCTCCCGCATCTGCCCTGCACATGTGCAGTGGAGACCCGAAAATCAGCTGGCGGGGGATGCGGGCACGCATGCAGGGGGTGGAGCTGAGCTAGGCGACGGCTCGCGTGACCGCAGAAAGGGCTCCGCGTGCCACAGGTTTGCCATCCCGGCAGTAGAATCTTCCTTTTTTTGTTCCTCTTAGAATGCATCCGTCATAAGGGCGAGGAATAGTTTTCAAATAAGTTTTTCAAGGGCTGTCCTAACTCCAAACGTTTCTTAAGCAAATTGTCATAAATCAAGGACTAACTCCCTCTGTCCTCAACACACACACACACACACACACACACACACACACCGGCCCCAGGGTGCCTTCCTTCAGATTCTCCCGAAAACTGACCTCTCTTTCCGCCTTCCAGGCTCCGACGCATCGACGCCTTCGCTGCCTTCCTGTGGCTGCTGGTGATGGGCTTCCACTTGGTAGAGAGGTATCTGCAGGTGGACATCCCCAGCTGGGTGGAGACCGCCAAGTTTGGCACCACCTCCCTGTGCTGCTTGGTGGGATTCGCAGCCGCCGTGGCCACGCGGAAGCCCGGGGGTCAGTGGAGACCTCAGCCCCGAAGGTCAGAGCCTCGGCAGTGACTTTGGCGGGCGGGCGGGCGGGGTTCCAAGTGCCTGAAACGCCTTCGAATTTCTCCCACGCCGCTTCATCTTCGCTCTTCCCATCTCGGCTTTTTTCCTCTTCCTCCCTCCTCTTCCTCACGTCTTCTTAGGCAGCTACCGGGTGCATCTCCGTTTGATCCACATCCGGGCCGGCTCAGCTTCACTTCCGCGGTTTTGGTGGTGGTGGGGAGACGGATGTTTGTGAAGATCAGTCTTGAGGGCTGGGATGATTTTTGGCTAGGGTGGCTGGGGTCTCTCTCCCCCTTAAAGCAAAAATAATAATAAAATAAATTACATAGATAAAATGAGTCGAAGGCAATTTAATCCCTTAAAGCAGTGAAGGCTAGCCTTTTATGTCACTGCGTGCCGGAGATGGTACGCAAAACCATCCCGCCTGGACCGCGCAGCCTCGCTGGCTTTTGTGCTCGTGGGAGCGCCAAAACCCAGAAAAGCAGCATTCCATCGCGCATACACGCACCGGCACTCGAACTTCCGGTTTCCGACGCGGAGACGCACCGCGATGGAAACCCGGAAGTTCGGGTGCATGCACGACGGAACGCTGCTTTTCCGGGTTTTGCCGCTCCCACGCGTCGCGGAGGCCATCTCACCGGCGCGCGTGTGCACACAGGAACGCGGAAGAGGAGCCTGCGAGGCCGTGCGAATCATCCCACGGGGGATGATTCTGCGTGCCGCATCCGGCACGCGTTCCATAGGTTCGCCAACCCGGCCTTAAAGGAAGTGATGCATCAATAAAACTGAGCAATGGGTGGAGGAGTCAATGAAACGACCCCAGGTACCCGGGCAAAAAAAAAAAAAAAAAAAAAAACCCAATTTTTTTTTTTAATTGACTTGGAAGCTTCACAGTTAAAACTGGATTGAACCTCATTTGCATTTATACTCTTTGCATGTTCTAAGACGGGGTATGTTACATTTGCACGGGGAAGTTTTGATTTGGTTTGAAGGGTGCGGTGTTTCCTTTCCTTTTAATATTTTATTTGTCCACTTCTTAAAACTGACACGTGGCCTTCGGCCCTTTCGCTTGGATCAGAGCTCTGCCAAGTGAAGCCAGCCTGTGAAAAGCCCACGCATAATTCATCCTTTCCCCTAACCTCTCTTTCTCACCTCTCTAAATTCTCTTTTCTCTTTCTTTTTTTAAAAAAAAGGGTAAATTCCCAGCTAGGTTGATCAGGTTTACGCAGTTTTCCCCACCTCTTTCAAATAAAAATTTGGAATTATTAAAAGAATCCTGTTTGGGGGGGCAGGAATTTTGCTCTGATAAATTCAAAGGATCTCTTGGCTTTATTTTTTCCCCCCCATTTTGTCTTTTAAAAATCTTTTTTAAAGTTGTTTTTAAAAGACAGAGAAGAATGATAAGTTTGAAAGCATGTTTGGTGGTTTTGCAAAAAGAAAAAAAGAAAACCTTTTTTTGTTTAACCTCTTTTTAATCCTGGGCGTGTTTGCGTTTGTGCATTTTAATACCTTTAATAGCTTTTTCATCTCTTCAAAGGATTTGCAATTCTCTTCTCTTCCTCCTCCTCTCCAGGGTTGGACTGCAGCTCCCATCAATTGCCCACACAGGAGTGCAAGGGGCTGATAGGAATTGTAGTGCAACTTCTCAGGATTGGAGGGTTTTTTTTCTGTCTTTCTTCGTTTTTTGTTTTGTTTTTTTCAACCCTTCTTCCAATGTCGATTTTTTAATCTTTCGCTTTACAAAAAGCCAGCCTTGTGAAGAAGGTAGGCGAATCAAATCTTGGGGGAATCACGGATATAGGATTATTTATTCTCTGATATTATAGCCAACTTATATTTAACTGGAGCAAGATATCTGTATACTTCGTTTAATAAGCTTTTGATTTCTTAACGTTAACAAATTCTGAACGGGAATTGGGTCCCACACAAGCAAAATGGAGTTTTTAATTATGATGGTCTACTTGGGCTTGGAGGCTTAGATTTATGCATCCGCCCCAGACCGATGTGATTAAATCTCTTGAGGCTGAGCTGGAGATGAAGAAATGAAAGAATAACCAAGTTTGCAGGTTTTCTTATATTTTTCTTTTGCAACTTAGCCCAACTTTCACCATATAGTGGACAGCGGGAATAACTGAGCAATTTCGCCCAAAGCTGATCGAATTTTCCCTTTCCATCCCCGGTTTTAAACCGGATAATTTTGCGTCTTAGGGCAAAATAATTGGTTGTCCAAAATCCTAATTTTTTTTTGTTTTTTTCGGCCAACCGGGTTAAAGACCTGTGAAGAAGCTTTAGGAAACGTTTCAGCCTGGGCAATGCAATATGTTCCGATAATTACGGTGATTATGATGACTATTATTATTATTATTATTTAACTTTTAATATTTTTATCCTTGTGCCCGATTTGTTAACACTAACTATTAAAAATAAAAGGCGCCTTGACCATATTACTTTGTCAGTTGCCTTTTTTTTTTTGTTTTTTGGACTTGTCATTGTGACGGTGGATAATGTTTGCTCTGATAAACTCCCACCTTGGTAACTGGAGCCTGAGTGGCGTAGGAGGCTAATGCCTCCTAAGGCAGCATTTAACATCCAGCTGTCTGCAATTACTGCGAGTTCAATTCTCACCAGGCTCAAGGTCGACTCAGCCTTCCATCCTTTCTAAGGTGGGTAAATTGAGGACCCGGTTTGTGGGGGCAATAAGCTGACTTTGTATAAATATACGAAAGTATGAAGGCTATTGCTTAACGCATTGTAAGCCCTGAGTCTCCGGAGAAGGGCGGCATATAAATCATTCTTTTAAAAAAAGAAAAGAAAGAGAAGGAAGGAAGGAAGGAAGGAAGGAAGGAAAGAAAGAAAGAAAGAAAGAAAGAAAGAAAGAAAGAAAGAAAGAAAGAAAGAAAGAGAAGCTGACTTTGTATAAATATACAAAAGGATGAAGGCTATTGCTTAACGCATTGTAAGCCGCCCTGAGTCTCCAGAGAAGGGCGGCCTATAAATCAAATTAAAAAAAAAAAGAAAGAAAGAGAAAGAAGGAAGGAAGGAAGGAAGGAAAGAAAGAAAAAGAAAGAAAGAAAGAAAGAGAAGCTGACTTTGTATAAATATACAAAAGTAGGAAGGCTATTGCTTAACGCATTGTAAGCCGCCCTGAGTCTCCGGAGAAGGGCGGCATATAAATCAAAAATTTAAAAAAAAAACTGAAAGTAGGGGGTGGGGAAAAAGACTTTCTAAGGCCGTGATGGTGAACCTATGACATGCGTGCCGGAAGTGGCACGCAGAGCCATCTCTCCGGGCACACGAGCTGTCGCCCATTGCTCTTCCGGGTTCCGGCGTGCCAGCCAGCTGGTTTTCACGCGCATGGGAGCGCCAGAAACTAAAAGAGCAGCCACCCGATGCGCACGCACGCACCGGGCAGCTGCTTTTTCGGTTTCTGGCCTGCATGCATGTGCGAAGACCAGCTGGCTGGTGCACAAGCATGCGCAGGAAACCGGAAGATCATCTTCTGGGCGCACGCATGTGCCCCAGGCAGCTGCTGTTCCAGTTTCTGGCATGCACGGGCCAACACTGTTCTAAGGCGATCCCCAACTTCCCAATTTCTGTCTGCAAAGGGGTAGATAGGTTGAGCATGTAGCTTGGAGCCGAAAGATTGTGATTGATCGTTAAACCAGGGCTGTGCAAGATAAACACGGCGTAGAGAATCTTAACACACCTTTCCGTTCCTGGTTTACAATTTAGATGTGCTTTTCAGTGTCTCTTGCTTTTAATGGTTTCGGAATAATTTTTACAGGGGGGGGGGGGGTTGGTCACGTTTCTGGATTCCCACCAGGGCTGTGAGAGAATTTTCCTGGAACGGTTGGACTCCGGTCTCCATCATCCCTGATCATCGATGGGGTTTGGAGTCCAGCAGCCCTCATAAGGCCTCCAGGGTGGCTTAACTGAGACGGTTTCCCGCCCCCCCCCAAAAAAGCCAAATTTGGGGTGCGTCGGTACAAAACTGCGGTGGCCCCAGCCAAAGAACGTAGAATAACAGAGATGGAAGGGACATTGGAGGTCATCTAGTCCGACCCCCTGCTCGAGCAGGAGAGTCTGTATCATTTAATATAAATAGCTTTCCAGTCTCTTCTTAAAAGCCTCCAGTGATGGAGCACCCCCCAACTTCTGGAGGCAAGTTGTTCCACTGGTTAATTGTTCCGACCGTTAGGAAATTTCTCCTTAGTTCTAGAGGTGTCAACTTGCAAAGCTTTCAAGTTGCCATGAGCAGGAGGGAGGGAGAACTGAAGTGCATTCCATACATTCTTCCTGACCGCAGTCAGAAGGAGGGTGTTAGGTTTCACAGCCAGCCAAAGTGGTTAATTGGAGAATGTGATTTATGACATGGCCAGAGAGGAGGGGAGAGACAGGGTCATAGGGGAACATAAATCTATGTAGGATCAGTCCTGACTGCATCCGAGTATTGCCGGAATGTTGCTCCTAATAAATGACTATATTTCCTTTGACGTTTGGATCATGGCTCATGAATTAATTAGGGCATCTTTCGGAAACTTGACACTAGGTTGATAAGCTTCCATCCGTTGCTTCTTGTCCTGCCTTCTGGTGCTTTGGAAAATAGATTGATTTCCCCCCCTTTCCTCTCTGTGGCAGCCCCTCAAATATTGGAAGACTGCTATCATGTCTCCCCTCATCCCTTCTGTTCATTAAACTAGATGTACCCAGTTCCCGCAACCGTTCTTGGTATTTTTTTTAACCTCCAGTCCCCTAATCCTCTTCGTTGCTCTTCTCTGCACTCTTTCTAGAGTCTCCACATCTTTTTCTATATCGTGGCGATCAAAACCGGACGCGGTAGCTTTCCAAGGGTGGCCGTACTAAAGGCCTTGTAAAACGGTATTAATACTTCACACAAGTATTAATACTCCTTGATTCTATCAAGTAAATAGGTGTGAAGTTTTCAAAAACGAGACGGGTCTGGGGAGGAGCCAGGGCGATCCGGTGGGTTCATTTTGTGGCACCGGACTTGAACCCCCCCTTCCCCCCGAACGATCGCTTTTCACAGCTCAAAAGCTAAAATCATGTTCCCGGTCCTCATGAGCGTCTTGAGCCCTGCTTCGAAGGAGGAGGAGGAGCTGAGAAGGCGGCTAAGCAGAACAACGGGGTACATTGGGAAAGTTTCTTTTTTGGCTGTAGAGATTCTCAAGTCCTCCAGGTTGTCCCAAAGATGCTTTTTCAAGAGGCCACTGGACTTTCTGTTTTTTTCTTTTTTTTCCTTTTTCTTTCTGAAGACATTTCGCTTCTCATCCCAGAAGCTTCTTCAGCTCTGACTGGATGGTGGGAATAATGGAAGGATTGATACTCCTTGCCAGCCTGCTCTTCCTCTCTCAACCTCTTCTGCCTTTCCTCTTCCTTCCGGGTTTCAACGATGCCTTTGGTGCCTCCCTCAACCGCCTCTGTCCGGGGATCGGCTGGTACCCGAGCTCCCCCCCCTCTTCCCTTGCTGGCGGGAGCTGTCACTGCCCCCCTCCCTAAAACACCGGCTGGGCTCAGCCAATGGCAGGGAGCCATGTAAGTGTGCCCAACCCTCAGACCCGGATGGAGAGCCGGCAAAGAGCTTTTGTCTCTCGTTTATTTTGCATTTTATTCCTTGAAAAGAGGTGCTGGGCCCAGATTAAAGCGAGGGGCCGTTTCTCGGACAGACGGACGGAGGGATCATCTCTTGGTGTGTTTGTCTTGTGTGTTTTCCTTCCCATTTTGTTCAGGCATTTTCTCTCTCCCCCTCTCCCCCCCGTTGTTTGTTTTAAATGCTTCCCCATCCACTGGAGAATCTGTTTTTTTAAAAATATATATATATATATCTCGGCAGTCTATTTAAAATCCAGGCGGAGGAAAAAAAAATGCAGCTTTATTTTGCAAAGCCTTTTTACAAAATGGCACAGGTTCGACACAACCTTTTGTGAGTTTTTCTTTTCTTTCTTTCTCTCTCTCTCCTTCCCTCTCTCTTTTTTTCTCTCTCCCTCTGTCTCTCTCGCTCCCTCCCTCTGTTTCTTTCTCTTCCTCTTTTTCTTTCTCTCCCTCCATCCCTCTTTTTCTCCCTCTCTCCCTCTCTTTCTCTCCCTCCTTTTTCTCCCTCCCTCCCTCCCTTTCTCTTTCTTTCTCTCTCAATTTCTTTCTCTCTCCCTCCCTCCATCTCTCCCTCTTCCTCCTCATTTTCTTTCTCTCCCTCTCTTTCCCTCCCTTTTTCTTTCTTTTTCTTTCTTTCTCTTCCTCTCTTTTTCTTTCTCTCCCTCCCTCCCTTTCTCTTTCTTTCTCTCTTTTTCTTCCTTTCTCTCTCAATTTCTCTTTTTCTCTCTCCCTCCCTCTTTCTCTTTCTTTCTCTTCCTCCTCTTTTTCTTTCTCTTTCCCTCCCTTTCCTTTCTCTTTTTCTTTCTCTTCCTCTGTTTTTCTCCCTCCCTCTTTTTCTCTCACCCTCTTTCTTTCTCTCCCTTTTTCTTTCTTTCTCTTCCTCTCTTTTTCTTTCTCTCTCTTTCCTTCCCTCCCTCTCTTTCTCTTACTTTCACTCTTTTTTCTTTCTCTCTCAATTTCTCTCTCTCTCTCTTTCTTTCCTTCTAAAATTTTCTCCCTCCCTCCCTCTCTCTTCCAAACCCCGTTCCCATTGCCATTTCAGCCACACCTTTTTCTGTCTTTTGTTCTTGCGCTGATGCGATACTCTTATCAGAGAAACGAGCATCCGTGGGGTTTTTTTCAATTCCCAAATAAGACTCGTGGCATTTGGACAAGGGGAAAAAAAATGCACACATTCTTAATTACTGCTTTCTAAATAAGATCCGTATCGATTATTAGCCAAAAAAGAGTCATTTTCAAATTCAAATTCTCCGGGGCTACCTCCGATAATTTTACTGGTATATTTTTTTCTCACCACGGATGGACGAAACGCCCGGAAATTCATTAATTCTTGCGGGAAGGGAACTGAACGGTTTCCTCACGTTCAGAGGGGGCCTAAATCAAATAATTCGGCTAACTGTAATTCAGTGCTTGTAAGATTTGGGCTGAATGCAGCTGGTTCCCAAATGCTTTAGATCCTTTTTTCTCCATCTGTACAACTTTTAAGATGCGTGGACTTCAATTCCCAGGATTCCCCAGCCACTTAGGAATTCTGGGAGTTGAAGTCCACACAACCTTAAAATGGCTCAGGTTGAGGAATGCATCTCTAGAACAAGATGCATCCAGGGGTGGGGTTCAAAAATTTTAGCAAGGGGTTCTCTGCCTGGTTGCTGGGTGGGTATGGGCGTGGCCTAGTCAGCCTCCTGCACCATGGGGGGGGGTGTTTTTGCCCTCCCCAGGCTCTGGAGGCTTTTCTCGAGCCTCCAGGAGGGTGAAAATGGCCTCCCCAGGCTCCAGAGGCCCTCTGGAGACTTCCCGAACTTCCGGTAGGCCCGTTTTTTGCCCTCCCTGACCCTCCACGCACACCCTGCACTTACTTGAATCCAAAACGGGCAGCATGGGGACTCTTTGGAGGGGCGGAGTGGACGGGGCCAGCCAAGAGTGGGATTTGGAGGCTGTCCGAACTGCACAGAATCTTAGCTAGAGGTTCTCGCGAACCCACAGCAGCCCATCCCTGAATGCATCCTGTTCCATCCTTTCAAGGATTCAGCCCACCTACAGAAAGAGGAAGAATAAATTTGCAATTGTATTTATTAATTTATTTGTCAAATTTATACAACCCCCCCCCCCCCTCTCTCTAAAAAAAAAAAAAAAAAAGACGACGGGAGGCATACGGCACTGAATTAAAATAACAAAGTTATGAAAACCGTTGTCATTATTAAAATGTAAGCAAAACCACCAGCTCCAAGGAGAGAATGACTGTGAGAGAGATCGTATGAATAAATAAATAGAGATGAACGCCATAAAACATCTTAAAGAAAGAGAGACCGTTCTGCAAAGCCCCATTTGCTTGAAAAGCAAAACTTTTAGTTTTCTGGAGCCAAAAATTAGGCCGCAAATGCAGAAAAGGGGGAAAAAAACATTTTTTTAAAAGCTTTTTGTGCAAAGCAGGGGGCGAACGATTGCAACGTTGCCATGTTGTGCGTCTCGTTTGCAGGTTTTCTCCAGGAGACCAACTGGCCGCGTTCCCCGGCAGTGCCGAGTTCAGCTTTGCATATCCTTCTCCCCCGCTTCCTTTCATCCCCAGTCCTCCCAGCATCCTCCAGTTAAACCAACGGCTTTTCTGCTCCCCACGCCGGACGTCATCCTCGTCTCTCCCCGGACGGCTGAATCGGGCCCTTTCGCTCGGCACGATTCCTTCCCTGGCCAGGACTGGTAAGTTAAACCTTGTTTTCTTTCCCTGCTTTGACTGGTAGTGCGGTTTTATTTATTTATTTATTTTTTGGTGGCTTTTCCAAGTTTCTAGTCCTTTGCGAGTTTGGCCTCGCTGAAGACCGAACCGCTGGCTTTCCTTGCCTAAGTGTGCTTTGTAATCCGATATTTACTTTACTATTGTAAAGTTCGCTTAGATAGTCGTTTGAAGTTTTCCTTATTTAGATTATTTACACTCATTTTAAATATTACATTCCTTTTTTTTTCTAACGTGAGATGTTTTGGACTCGGAAAATAAATCGCAAATAAATCTGATATTTTGCTCTTCATAAATAGGCTAGGGCCGTGATGGCGAATCTATGGCACGCGTGCCACAGGGGGCATGCGGTGTCTTGTTGCCTGGCACGCCAGCTCAGTTCCGGCACACATGCGCACACCAGCCGGCTGATTTTCGGGCCTTCTGGGTCCACCAGAAGTAGGGAACCAAGCTCTCTAGGAGTCTCTGGAGCTGGGGGCAGCAAAAAAAAGTCACTTCCTGTCCAACCGGAAGTTGGGAAACGGGCCGTTTCAGGCCTCCAGAGGGCCTCCGAGGGGGTGGGGAAGGCTGTTTTCGCCCTCCCCAGATGCATAGAGAGGATCTGGAGCCAGGTGAGAAACAAATACGGGCCTACCGGGCCATCGCGTGCTAGGAGCGGGGGGGGGGGGGGGGGGAAGGTGGTGGTTGCACACGCATGCATGGAGCGGGGCGCATAGAATTATGGGTGTGGCCACGCACATGCGCGAATCTCCACCACCCCCCTCCCCAATCACTGGGCTAGGGCATCCTCACAATGAAAATGAATTGTCAGATATATTTTTTTTTAAAAAAACTGTTGACTTGCCTAAGAGTCATTTATGAGGGCTGCGTGAAGTATCTTTTTTTTTTTTAAATTTTATCTGTAATAAAGAGGGATATATTAACATCCTTCTCCAGACCTGACAAAAAGGAGCTTGGAACTTCTCACAAAAATGGACAGCCAAGCCTGTTGGGAAAATTTGTGGGTTTTTTTTTTTTTTTTCCTGGCACCACAAACCTGCTTCAAAAAAATAAATTTATCCATCAGCAAGTGGAGTTTCTGGGAGGTGTTAATTCACTTGGGGACGGGGATTTTTTGCTTCTCATTCTGCTCATGTTCAAACCAGGCTCTGTGGTGGAGAAAGGTTTTTGGGATCAGCTGGGGAGGATGGTCTTCCTGTGCTTTCTTACGCTTACACCTCTGGGTCTAAACGAAGCATTTGAGCTGTTCTTTTAAAGTTGATTATATAGATTCCGACAAGGGGGAAAAGTCCTTTAGAGTGGAGACACTCGAAGTAGAGCTTCTTTGTTCAAAGGCAGTTTATCTTAACCAAGGGAGCGTTGGGATGTCACTTCTGTCGAACTCGGCTCCATCTGGGCCCGATCCAGCCCAAGATTTGCCCCTCGCGAGGTTCAAAAAAGCCTTGCAGCTTCTGATTTGATTCCGAGCAGCGACGTAGCAGATAGCAATAGCACTTAGACTTATATACCGCTTTACAGTGCTTTTACAGCCCTCTCTAAGCGGTTTATAGAGTCAGCCTTTTGCCCCCAACAATCTGGGTCCTCATTTGACCCACCTCGGAAGGATGGAAGGCCGAGTCAACCTTGAGCCTGCTGAGATTTGAACTGCCAAATTGCAGGGAGTCAGCAGAAGTAGCCTGCAGTACCGCACTCTAACCACTGTGTGGCTCTTCAGATTCCGCCATCTTTGTGCCCACAATAAATAACTTCGCTGCAGTCACCTTACGCCTATCCGCTTCCCTTTCTAATCGGGTATCCGCCCATCCTGATTTTTACAAAAAATTATCTTTTGTTTTCTGTGTTGAGATTCGGGCTACCTGTTCAGCGGAAGTCGGCCGCCCTCGCAGGCCTCCTGCCCCAAGGATTGGGCAGCATCAGGTGAGCGGAAGGCGTGGGTCCCCCCCCCTTCCATGAGCCCCCGTTTGACGAGCTTCCTCTTTTCTCTTGCCACATCTGGAATCCAGATGTTAGCCTGTGTTAGCCTGTCGAATCGGGCCGGGAAGGTCTGCCTTCCATGCTTACATCAGCCAAGATGGGGCCACCTCCGTTAGGTGTGAGCAGTGGTGGGATTCAAATAATTTAACAACCGGTTCTCTGCCCTAGTGACCGGCTGGGTGGGTGTGGCCATGGTGGGCGTGGCCAGGGAGTGTGACAGGCGGCACTCGGCCACCTGCACCCCCCTGGGAGCAAAAACAGGCCACAGGGGGGATGTGCCACCCCCCTGCCCCGTTTTGGGCCTAGTAGGCCTTTCTGAAGCCTCCTGGGAGCAAAAACCGGGCGCAGGGGGAATTCCTGGAAGGGGAGGGGCCAGCGAGCAATTTAACTACCGGTTCGTCGAAACCGGCTGAATCCCACCACTGGGTGTGAGGTGATGGCTGAGAAAATAGTTGGATTGGGTGGGGGCTCTCCCCTCCCAAACTCCCGAGCCCACATATTTCTCAAAATATTGAGAATCGGGATGAGGTTGATTCTAACCCCGTTTTTCTCGGCTTCCTTCCGACCCTTCCAGAATATTTCTCGGTCCTCTCCGGAAGCTGCATGCCCTCGCCGGCGCCCTCGCCGGCACCGTCGGTGGCCGGCTCCATGGCGTCCAGTTCCAGTTCCTTGCGGTTCCGCCGGCCTCTCATCAGCCCCGCTCGGCTGAATCTGAAAGGGCAGCAGCTGAGACTCTTCAGGGGACAAAGGGAACTCCATCACGGGGATGATTTTGCCTCGGCGGAAAACAGCCCGTTTGCTTCGGAACGGTCCGTCTTTCCCAAAATGCACTTCGGAGAGCAGGGCCTACCAGGTACGCGCCATTTGGAGACATTGGAAGAGCCAGATGCAGATATACCGGACAGTCTCCAAGGGCAGTCCCATAGGTCCGGGGAAATACTGTAGTCTAGCCTTCCGGATACGTTGAGACTACGTTCCCCGAATCCTTTGGAGGTTGCAATATATTCAAGATATGGTCCCTGCTTTTAAGAGGACATTGAAAGGTCTCTTGCTTGACCCCAAAGGTGATTTTTTTCAGGAGGCAAGTGGAATTTCTTGGTTTTTTTCTTTTGAAGACGTTTCGCTCCTCATCCAAGAAGCTTCTTCAGCTCTGACTGAATGGTGGGGAATGGAAGGGTTTATATTCCTTGAAGACAGCTGGTCCTTTGCATCCTTTTAGAGGGTTGTTGAAGCCCTTGGAGGTTTACCTGTATCCTCAGGGTCACCTGAGTAGTGCAAATGGTTCCTGTAGTCCATAGTCTGAAATTTTTGTTTCCATGGGAAATCCATTCCTACTCCCACACCATTCCAAGGATGTTCACCCCAAATTGTATAGCTAAAAATCTGTGGAGATTCTCAGTCCTCCAGGTCATGGTTTTCCCAAAGCTGCTTTTTCAGGAGGTAACTGGGCTTTTTTTTTTTTTCTTTCACGTCTCATCCGCTTCTCAATTTTGACTCTTCAGAGCTGATGAAGCTTCTTGGATGAGAAGCGAAACGTCTTCAAAAAGAAAAAAAACCCCAAGAAAGTCCAGTTGCCTCCTGAAAAAAACAAACCTTTAGGACAACCGTGATCTGGAGGACTGAGAATCTCTACAGACTCTTTTGCCTCCTGCTTGAGCAGTGGGGTCAGACTAGAGGACCTCCAAGGTCCCTTCCAAATCTGTTATTCTGTAAGGAGTGGGTGCATTTATTGGCCGTGCTGGTTAGCGCTTGGAGCAGTCGCATTTCAAACATATCTGATCTTTTTGAGAAGGATGTGAAGCTCAAAATCAATTGCCCCCTAAACCAGATCTGGGTACCATATTTTTCGGAGTATAAGACACTTCGGAGTATAAGACGTACCTACCTTTTTTGGGGAGGAGAACAAGAAAAAAAAATCTGCCTCTGCCTCCCAGCAATTTGCCTCCTTTCAGCAAACAGCAAACATCCTGTTTCAGTCTCAGCTTTAGCACAGCCTGATTAGCACAAGCAGCTGATTGTCGGTTGGATCGGCCTCCCAATCAGCTGTTTCAAGCTTGTCATAGCCTATTGCCGCCTCCATACCCCATTTTCAGCCTCCGCATCCCCTTTTTGGCCTCCGTGTGCCCCATTTTCCGCCCATTCTGGGCAGCGGGGATCAGAATGGGCAATGGCAATCCTTGCAGCCTGAAACAGCTGATGGTCGGGAGGCCGATCCAACCGACTATCAGCTGCTTGTGCTAATCAGGCTGTGCTGAAGCTGAAACGGGCTGTTTGCTGCAAGGAGGCAAATTGCTGGGAGGCAGAGGCCAAAGGGTGGGGGGCGGCAGGTGGGTGGGGCTACATTCAGTGTATAAGACGCAGCCAAATTTTCACTTTCTTAGGGGGGAAAAAGTGCATCTTATACTTCGAAAAATACAATAATTTATGGATGGATAACTTGGTTTGTCCACAATTGGGTAAGAATTTAAGAAAAAGTAGAGTTGAGCATTAAGGATTAAGAAGAAGAAGAAAGTTTTGACCCATTGGAAATGTCAGCTTTTGATTTTCCCCACAGATGTGACAGCGGCCAGCAGTGTCTCCACCGAGGATTCAGGGAAAAAGGCAGACGGTTCGTCGTGTTCGTCCAATTGTGTTGTTGACACCACAACGAAAGAAGAACCTTCGGGCTGGAAGGGTGAGTTCATTGTTATCTTAAGCTCCCCGGCAAAGATGGCAAACTAAAAATTAAATACAAGGTCCCTTCCGGCTGTGTTATTCTGTTATTACTATCCATCATTTGTCTGAAACGGAATAAGGCAGTGTTGGCTAACCTTTTTGCCGTCGCATGCCAAAAGCGGGGGGAGCGGGGGGGGTCACATGCATGTGTGACCACCCATAATTCAATGCGTCCCGACCCCCCCACACATGCGCGTGCGACCCCCGACAGCACTTCCCCCATAGGCCCATTTTTCACCCTCCCCAGGCTCCAGAGGCTTTCTTGGCGCCTGGGGAGGGTGAAAACAGCCTTCCCCACTCCTCCAGAGGCTGGAAATGGCCCATTTCCTGACTTCCGGTGGGCCCAGAAGACCCGAAAATCAGCTGGTTGGCACGCGCATGCGCGCTGGAGCTGACCTAGGGCAACGCTCAGGTGCCCACAGATATGGCTCCATGTGCCACCTGTGGCACGCGTGCCATAGGTTCGCCATCACGGGAATAGGGTCTCCTGCTCGAGCAGGGGGTCAGACTAGAGGACCTCCAAGGGATCCCTTCCAGCTCTGTTATTACTATCCATCATTTGTCTGAAACGGATCAGGCTCTCTTGCTCGAGCAGGGGTTCAGACTAGATGACCTCCAAGGTCCCTTTGCAGCTCTCTTATTGAAAATCTGAAGGGTGACCTGAATTTTTTTCCCTCTCATGTCTCCTTTCCTTCCTAGGCTGCTTCGGGAACCTGCTTCTCCGAAGTCTCCTGGCCCTCAGCCTGACCGTCAACGCCATCTTCACCTCGGCCTACCTCTACCAAACGTTGCGATGAGCCTCAGCCCCACCTCCACCCCACCCCAACCCCCAAAAATGGGGAGTCTTCCCCATTTCCCTCGTCCTGGAGATCGCGGGCTTACAGAAGAGACTCGGCCATCGCAAGGACCTTCTTCGCCGCATGGCCGCATCCCGCACAGGCAGCGGGATCCGGTCTGTTTCTCCCGATCGCCGTGGCCTTCCCCGATATCCCTTGCCTGTTTCTCCCATCATCTGAGGAATAGTCTTGGTGGATCGGGAAGCACTTTTTTTTGCCCTGGTTTTCCTTGATTTGTACAGAACGTGGGATGAAAGAGATGGGAGTTTGGAAGGCGAAGGCCGGACATGGGTGGCGTTGCGTTCTGCCCCTTCAGCCACAAACCTCGAATGGTGGTTAAATGCTGGCTCACGGAGAGAACTTAAGAACTTTGGGAGAGTCGTCCTCCTCTCTATCCTCTTTGGTCTTCCAGACCCCGGCTCTCTTTTTTTTCCTAATCTCTCTGTGGCCGAGGGAGAAAAAAAAAGTCCCTTGCGTTGCTCGATAAGTTGTTGACTTCCAGGATCCGGTCAGTTTCACTGCTTTTTAGGATCCGGTCAGTTTCACTGCTTTTCAAGTCAAATGTGTGTCTGGGATGTTTGGAGAAAGTCTCTGTTACTTTGTGTATGTTTGTTCTTAATTTATTAATTTTCAGGGCCAGGAAGAGAAGTTTCATGCAGGCCAAAATGGGTCGGGAGACATCTTTATTAGCATCAGGAGAAGAAACCTATGCAAAATAAAGTGAATTATTATTATTTTTTTTTCCCATGCTTAAGTGGCCCTGTACTAGGTTTCCTGATGACATCCTGCTTTTTTCCCCAAGACCAGAAACCTGTTTCTTCAATTGGGCTTTTGACTCTCTTTGCATTTGGATGTTTGTACTTCAGCAGTGGGAGAATTTCCCCTGCATGTAGAAAGCTAGCAGATCAGGGAGAAAAGTGAACCCAGTTTACAGTGTGCTAGAAACTTAGAAAATGTAAACTCAGGAAGTAACTTTCCTGCATTATCACCCAGGTTTAAAATCTTCCTTGTTTGGCTCACGTCGGCTCGCTAAAAAAATGAGAATAATGCTTCTGTCTTAGCCGGCTGTGCAACATGGGTTAGAAGGCTGATTTTTTAAATTATTATTATTTTAAGAGCATGACAAAAAGAGCTTTTTTTCCTGCCTCTTTAGCAAGCGAGGAATTTTATTTTTTTTTTTTTTTAAAGCCAAGATTAAGATCCACCACTTTCTCCATTGTTGATCTTGGCTTGGAAGTGGGACGTTGAATATCTTATTGCCAATTGGCTCACGGACGGTGGTGGGATATTCAGTTAACTTTTCTCAGAGCTGCCCCTCCGGTTTGAAAAAGTTTCAGATTTTTTCCCATCCCGGGTCTCTTTCCCCATCTCACAGCAATCCGGTTTGCCTTGAAACCGCTCGAGAAAGTGTTTTCCAGAAATTTCAAACATCCGTGTTAAAACAGGTTTTCTTTAAACCACCTATCAGTCTCGTTTAATTTTGCTTCCTACGGCAGATTTCTCAAAATGGGTGTTCTTTCCACATGGGTTTTGCAGAAAGCAGCTTTTTTTATAAAAAAAATATCGGCAAAAAATGCACAGGGACGGCACGATAATTCAAAGCAAGAGGCCTGTATTTTTGGTGCTAGGAAACAAGTTATTAAAAGAGTCACGCTGGTGTTCCTTTGATCGCAGTGTTATGTACTGTGCGTCTTAAGGGTTATGCCCCTTTTCAAAGTTTTTTTCTTAAACTTTAGGTTGGTAGAAGGGGAAAAAAAACACACAAACGTTTTTTTAAATGTATATTTCATGTCATGTTTGATTTTGGTCTGTCTCTGTTTTTTCCTTTCCTCCTGGGGAATAAATAAGGTCTAACGTTTGGCGATGGGGAAAAAAAAATGTCTTTTCAAATTCAGGAGTTTGTTTGTTTTCCAATTCACCGTTATTTCTGTAGAAGCAGCCCTCTCCTCTCTTCCCTAGTTCCAGCCTCTTTTGTATCTTTTTTTTTTTGTTATCGACAACTGCCGCAGTACTCCCTGAGGACTAGCTTCTTGCTTGAATGTACAAGAAACGATCAAATTATATACACTGTGTCCTGCGAAGCTTGAATTTCACGGCGGGTGGGGAAAGGCCACTGGATGCCATTTGAGAAAAACGGTGGGGGTCTTGATTTCGTTTTATACTTAAGGAGGCTGGAGAAGAAATCTGCCTCTCCGGGGTGTGGGGGAAGTTGGAAGATTTCGTGCCGAAGGAGAGGGCATTTCCCCCCCCCCTCTGTTTTGTCTCCCCTCTTGAGATGTTTTATGTTCTGCGTTTGAAAGGTTATTTTTCTTTATAAAACGGTTAAGAATAAAAGCGATGTTGCATCTTGAGTTTCATGTCTCCTTGCATCCATAGAGGGAGGTTTAGAAAGCAAAGAGTATCTCGTAGCCCCATTTGCTAAACAGATTTGAACCTGGTGCCCTCCACCAAAGCCAATACGTCAGCTGAAATGTAGCATTATTTTTTTCCCCCTAGGGAAGGTGTCAACGAGGGTAAAGGATCAACAGGCCAAATAAAAATCTGCCTTATATCCCAGGGCAAATGTGACCCAAAATGGACCGTATTTTGGGGATTATAAAACGCACTTTTTTGTCTCCCAAAAGGGGGTGAAAAATGTCTGTGCGTTTTATAGACCGAATATTGCCGAAGCCCCATCCATCTGTTGACTGGTGTTTTTTGGGGGGGCTTTGCACGGCCCGTTTTTGGGCCTTTTTTCAGCCTTTTTCAGGACTTTTTTCAACCCATTTCCGAGGCTTTTTTTCAAGGCCATTTTCGAGGCTCTTTTCAGTAAAACAGGTCAAAAAAAGCCTCAAAAACAGCTGATAAGAGCCTCAAAAATGGGCCAAAGAAAGCCCCAAAAACTAGCTGAAAAATGCCTTGGAAATGGGCCCAAAAAAGCCTCAAAAATGAGCTGGAAAAAAGCCCAAAACTGGCTGAAAAAAGCCTCGGAAATGGCCCCCAAAAAAAGCCTCGGAAATGGCCCAAAAAAAGCCTCAAAAACAGGCCAGAAAAAGCCTCAACAATGGGCTGAAAAAAGGGAGGCCAATTTTTTGTTGTTGTTGTTGTTTTCCTCTTCTAAATTTAAGTGCGTCAAATACTTTGAAAAATACAGTACATTAAAGAGTATCTTAAGACTGTCCTGTTCACAAGCTCTTGTTTCTGTACAAAAGTGGAGGGAATTTTTATCCTTTCCAAGTTGCTTCTGATCTGATGTGCGAAAAGGGTTAAAAAGGGTCATAAGTCACTTTTTTCCAGTGCCGTCGTAACTTTGAACGGACTATTGTAAATCGAGGACTATATTTAAAAAAAAAATTGAAAAGGGAATCTTGAAAAGAAGATAATGCCTTAGGAAAGTGCCCTCTTGTGGACACAGTCTGCCATTGCACCCCCCACAAAGAAAAGCAAAGTATTTGTGTTTTGGGTTCAATTTAATTTAAAATCGCGTTTGCCAAACAATATTGCAAAGCAATTAACAGCCAGGTCTGTTTACCAGTAACAACTGGCTTTTTGTGGCAACGTTAACTATTTTTCCTGGGTGCATCTCCCTCTAAAAGATGCTGTTTGACATATTAAGTTCAATTTTAAAAACTTTCTTTTGGGGGAACAATACGACCAAAGGTATCCACCAGGGGGCAGGCTTTCCGACCACAGATTTGCGCCTCTTTTGGATTAAAGATGCAATTTTAAATTTGTGATCTTTAATCCTTGTACCTCTAGGTTATTTTGGATTGTGGGCTATTTTTAACCGACTTTCCCCCCCTTTACTAAATTTAAGAAATTCAGGATGCCCCTGTAACCTAAAGATAATATAATATGGATTGATATGTGTTTTGATGCGTTCCCATCATAAAGTCCAGTCTTTTTTTAAAAAAGCATTAAAAGTTTCCAATTCATTGCCCATCCTATCCGGGGACTAGGATTCCCATAACCTCTCGTGGAAGTTTAATGGAGGCTAGGAGCCCACGAAGAAGTTGCGCGTGTAAGAGTGATCAGATGGCCAAGCAATAGTTGCAAACTATCCAAAAATGCATCTATTTAAGAGTATCAAACGTCCAGCAAACCAAGATAATTTGGCAACCGACAGAAGTGTGAGACCCTTTGCGCCAAGATTGGCAGCGGCTGGGTGTGAGATCAGGGCGCTGGTGTAAAATCCACTTTATCCTGAATTATTGCAAACACAGAAAGAAAAGGCTTCGCAATGCAAACACGCAAAAGGAAATTATTCCAATCTTGGGAGGGGCAAAAACACGCCATGCACAGCTTTGCAAAGCTGTATATTTCTCTTCCCTCTCCAAAAAACGATTTGGAGACGAATTTGCAAACCAAGAGTAAGAGCATGGGCAGAGTTGCGAGCTCTGTCTGCTGGCTTGGAATTGGATCTTGGTTGCCGGGCGTGGGGAAGGTGAGGTGTAAGAGAGAAAGTCCTTGATTTTATCCATCCAATTTATATTAGAGCGCATCTCACCGAGGCTCCAAACAATCATCAATATAAAAAAAAATATTTTTTAAAAAAAGACGCACGCGGCTCTATTAAAAAATCCCTCGCCATGAATATAGGAATCATTTTTGATGGTGTGGTGGTGAATACAAATCTAATGAATAGTAAATAAATAAGTGTATGCATGCATTTACTCTTGTATGCATTTACTCTTGAGTCCTACAAGAAAAGCAGGGGGTTGGACTAGAAGACCTCCAAGGTCCCTTCCAACTCTTATTCTGTTAAAACCAAGTTGCAATCCACGGGGAAGAAGAAGACTTCCCACCCACCCGTCTCTCAAACGTTGGGGCTACAGTTTGTTACATCTCTCCGGAGAGTTACAACTCCCGGTGACCTGTCTCTGAACCGCGGAGGTCAGCGGAGGGGCGCAGAAGAAGCGCACCAGGCTGCCGAGGGAGCTGGCCGCAGCTTGCTCACCCCAAAGCTGGATCCTTTTCAATCCTCCGGGGGTTCCCCGCGCCCTTGCCCGGCCGGGTCCCCCGACGATTCCCCCAAAAGGAGAGGCGCGCAAGGAGAGGCGCGTCTCCAAAAGCGCGCTTTGGAGAGGCTCTCCAAACGCTGCGCAACGGAGAAGCTCTCCAAACTGTGCGCTGCTGAGTTGGCCGCCTCGGGCCAGCAAGAGGATCGCTCCGGGGAGGATGTCCCGGAGGAAGCTTCGAGGAGCCCCCCGAAGCCCCCTTACTCCTACGTGGCCCTGATCGCCATGGCCATCGAAGCCAGCCCGGGCCGGCGCTTACCCCTGCGCGCCATCTACCAATACATCTCCGGGCGTTTTCCTTACTACCGGCTGGAGCAGCGCAGTTGGCAGAACAGCGTGCGCCACAACCTGAGCCTCCACGAGTGTTTCGTCAAAGTGCCCCGCGTGGAGTCTGCCCCGCGCAAGGGCAGCGATTGGACTCTGGATCCGGCTTTCCGGGCCATGTTCGAGCCGGGCAAGTACCTGCGGCGGAGACGCGGCCGGAGACGCCCATCCGGCGATCCTGCGCCGCCTCGCGTGGAGCCGCCCGTCCAGCGATCCTGCGCCCCGGCTGGATGCCTCTGGGGGGCCCCCGCGGCGGTGGGGCAGCAGCAACCCCCCTGGCATCCGATCGGGCACCACCGCCCGCCGGGGATGGTCCCCTTGGGCGTCTACGAGCCCTATCCCCGCCTTTGGATTCCCCCGCAGCCGCTCCTTCTGCAGCCCTCGGCTCCAGGACCTTCCGTCCCGGTTCTCTCCGACTTGCCTTTTTCCCCTTATTGGAGCTGGCAGGAGTCGACCTATTCCCTGATGGAGCTGAAATGAAACCATCCTGCGAAGAAAAAGAGGCTAGTCCAATTAGAAGCTGAGTGTTTGCAGGCTCAAGGTTCTAGTCCTGGGTGAGGACAGTCCCCAACCGGTTCTGATTTTTGATGTTCTTTTTCAAGGGTGCCACCAGTTTCCTCTTTTGAAGTCCTTAGGAAGCAAAGATGTTCAATCAAAGATTTTCTCTTCTTCCTGCAAAGAAAAAAAGCTGGAGGAAAAGACAAGAAACTAGTCCAATTAGAAGCTGGGTGTTTGCAGGCTCAAGTTTCTAGTCCTGGATGAGGACAGTCCCCCACCGGTTCTGATTTTCAGTGTTCTTTTGAAGGGTGCCACCAGTTTCCTCTTTTGAAGTCCTTAGGAAGCAAAGATGTTCAATCAAAGATTTTCTCTTCTCCCTGCAAAGAAAAAAAGCTGGAGGAAAAGACGAGGCTAGTCCAATTAGAAGCTGGGTGTTTGCAGGCTCAAGTTTCTAGTCCTGGGTGAGCACAGTCCCCCGCCGCTTCTGATTTTCGATGTTCTTTTTCAAGGGTGCCACCAGTTTCCTCTTTCGGACTCCTTACAAAGCAAAGACGTTCAATCAAAGATCTTCTTCTCTTCTTGTGATCCAGGCGGCCAACTTATGGACGGCACCTCTGCTCCGCTGCTCTCTAACCACAGCTTTGTCGCGCAGGACCGAAGCAGCTAGGTGGCGCAGGGCTCGAATTCCAATTCTGCTTAAGTTTCTCTGTAAAAAAAAACCCCACCAGAGAGAGAGAGAGAGAGATCTGCACTCCTGAGTTGGCTGTTGACACTGGCAGCCAAGCTGATAGACTACAATTCCCAACCTTACGTTCCTGGTACAGCCCTGATTGTAGATCAGCAGTACTGGGGAGGGGGGGGCTGTAGATGGAGAACCCCCCCCCCCTTGAAATATCCTGTTTGAAACTAGACCAATTGTTTGCAAGAGAGACACACACACACAAAAACACCATTTGGGTTTCCGAATGAGGAACTCTACCATTGATGCAAGCCTCTGGCATCGATAGAGATTTTTTTTTGTGTGAATGTTGCTTTTTTAAGTTGGGGAAGTCCTTCTTTATTTATTTATTTATTTATTTAATTTAGAAGCGTTTGAATCATTTGTACTAGGAAAAGGTCACTGACCTGGTGTTTGTTTGTTTGTTTGTTTCCCAAAAGCGCAAATAATTTCCGGTTACGATTTCGCAAATGATTTTCTTACACGATGATCGCCACTCAGCAAATGCTGGTTTTCTTTTTTTTTTTTTTTTAAATCCATTTGAAAAAATGTTGAGGATTGGTCATTCTTTTCCTTTTGAAACAAAATCCAGAGAATTTTCTAATTCTATCTCTTGGTTTTTTTTTTGTGAGATTTTTGGTTAACAATTTGGATTTATTTCTATTAATTTTTAAATCTCACCAAAAAAAAACCAAAAACAAGAGATAGAATTAGAAAATAGTATGAATATTCAGATAACGAAACAAAATCCAGAGAAATTGGGAAGAGGTGTCCATCAAAAGGCAAGCTGAAGAAAATTGGCTGTGCCCCGTTA